TTGTCTAAAAATTATGCCCTGTCATAAAAGGATTTCTGACTCTGAGACCAGACGGTCGGCATACAGGCATTACCATGATTACGATGCTGGCTGACATATTTAGGCATGTTTAATACAGGAAATAACCAAGGCTGGTGAATGTCACCCCTACTGTAGCCTGTTATGTAGGCCCATACAATGACTATGTACATGTAAGTCATGATGCCAGAGTCGTTGTGACGTTGCAAAGTGCAACAAGAGTGCACGGGTACAGTATTGGCATAATGATGTAGCATAATCACTGGCATGATTATTTGGGCATAATGGAAGGCATACAGTGAAACCTCGTTAGGAAGAACACTGATAAGACAAATTTTCGCTTTAGAAGAACTAACACTCATAACTTAAGGGGGGGTTCGGGACAGTTAGGCCCAAAAATTTAATTTCAACATCAGCCCAATCTGACAACAGGTTTGAATAGGTACAGCCTTATATTTTCGCTTAGTCACATCAGTTTTTCAATTGCCTGAATAGGTCTTGCCAAAAACACAATTTTCCTTGATGACACAAAATAACACAAAATCCCGAAATTGATGAGAAATCGTCCATAACATCAGTTAGGACAGAAAATATAACATAAAATTTACAGACTGTTCGAGGTATTGACTAAGTTGATATCAACACCGAAAAATGTACACTTTGGTTGACGATGGGATCCAGGTCGTCATTTCCTGGAGAAGAACAAAAAGACGCAAAAAATGAAACTTTGAATATTTTTTGCAGCTTATTTTTGAGTTTGCCCCATATGTGGATACTTCAAATACGTTCTATAAGTGGGTTGGAACAGGTTTACCGCGGCGAAAATAGGGGTCACCGTGCATATTCTGGAGAAAAATCCAAAAAACTGTCAAAATTTGCCTAAAATTGGCAAATTCACGTATCTATATTGCTTGTACTTCTCTGCTGCTGCTGCTTTGGTCATAACTTATTGGATTTTTGGCTGTTAGGTGTTGCATTAACTCACTAGAGCCCTCGGCGTTCAGAACAATACAAGGATGGAATAGCTGAACTAGTGAATTTGCCGGAAAACCCTGGGTGCACGCATTATCGATAGGTACTTTTCTCCATGCTTACTCTCCTGTTGGTACTTGGTTTTGATACATGTACATGTAGCTGTGATAGCGCTTAGCACAGCCCCATTTCAAATTACAATGAAAGCTGACATGTTGGAACGAATCAGACAACATTGAGTCCTCTTGTTCTTCAACTATGCGAGCTAGAACGTGTCCCCACACTGGCAAAAATGATGGTATTTTACGGTGCGCACAAACAAGTGAAGCACTGTGCCACAGGGCGTTCCTTACAGTTGGGTTGCTACTGGTTCTTCGCTAGGTGTTCAGCCACCGCTAATATAATCTTCCTTGAGACTGTCACCCGCTTTTTACCTCTGACTTGCTCCTTCATCAGTCTGGAAATGGCTGGCTCACCACTTCGTTCGTAGGACAAGACAAAGTGCTTGATCACCAACCCACTGGCAGCTGCCCGCACTGCAACTGATTTAGAGAAGCACGTTGCTTGGACCAACGGTTGAAGGGTGGCCAGCCGCTTTTGCTGATGTTCTGCAAACTCCATCGCCGAACATGCTGATGCAAAAGTGACAGAGTGCTACAGGATACTGGCATCAGGGCGAGCTTCGACAATTTCAGCTAGGGCCGCAACATCCGCAACAGCATCATGAGCAGCGAACTCATTCCCAACGATGAACTATAAATCAATCTGAGGCTGTAGCTTGGGAGCTCCGGTATCGCGGTTTAGGGATCAGAGTGTTCACCCAGCACAAAAATGAACACCATCGACACACACATCCGTGCACACATACACACACACACACACACACACACACACACACACGCACACACACACATGCATGCTCTCACACGCAATAGAACACACGCGCGCGTACACACATACATTCACGCACGTGTGCGTACCCACCCACATGCATGTGCACACTCATGTGCATGAGTGGAGATGCCCGCATACACATGTCACACCAACATGCCCTGGGAGCGGTCATGCACGTGTGTATAGTATGTGTGCGAGGGCACGTCCACATGAGCGCATATGCATGTGCATGTTCATACATGCGTATGGTGCACACATGCACAAACATGCAGGTCTATGCAAACACACACGCTCGCGGCCGCCGCGCATACAGTGTGCTCATACATTTCCATAGCCATAGGGTGGCAATGACTCGCAAATATCATGAATAAATCTTATGAGATTGAAAAACGCACTTACCCAAAGCAGCTTTGGTGTTGCTTGTGGAAGCACGGGGGCCAGGGTGTTGAGCAGTTACAGGGCTATCTGTATCTATAAAATTCTCCATCCCACACTGCTGCCACGGAATGACAAGTACGCTGCCCAGGTCGTACCTCTTCTCTTCAACGCAATCAATGAGCGCCAGAGGTTTGCCACATCCAGGATTCTGGCACGCAGACAATCCCACAGCCAGATACCTGAGATGAACGATTCGTCGACCGTGAAGAGGGGCACTGAACGACCTCTTCGCGGGAGTCGAATCCAGTGGCGTTAGTGGTGGAGATCGCCCTTTCCGTTTTTCAGGAACTCGATCGATCGTTTGAGTTTGCGAAGCGTCCCCCTCCTCGGCTTCTTGCATCGTCCAGAACGCAGAATGAGAGGCGCGTCGTGGGTGACGGATTACTCTCCCGCGTCTTCATCTCCACGACACGTCGGCAGGAGAACCGAGCTATCCAAAAACCGCCAATGTCAAAACAAATCCGCAAGTCCACTAGTGGCTGAGCTTCTTCCTCAAATCTTGTCTCGACTCGAGCAGGCGCTGCGAAGTCATGGGGTCAAACTACAATCATGTATGATGTAGTTTACTGTGCATGATCGCGTCCCATTTTTCCACTCCGAAAGGCATTATTTTTCAGAAAAAGATTCGGAAATCCAACATGGCGCTAACCGTCGCGAACCTCCTTAAAGGGGAAGTATACCCTAAAATCAAATTTTCACCAGTTGTAGTCTTCGGGGTGCTGAGTCGAATGGTCTTGGTCCGAGGAAGCTGAGACGCTCCCTTCCTACTTGAATCCCAATCGAACTCGCGCACTTCCACCGAAACTGGGTGACTGCGCCCTACTAGATGGGGATTTGTATGCAAAATGTCACTAAAAGCGCCATTTCGTTCTTATAAAAGCACGGATGACCGCCATTGGCCCATAATGTTGTAGTCTTTTGGACGCTGAGTCGACTGGTTTTGGTCCGAAAAGGCTGCGATGTAGCGTTCCTCCTTTATTCCCAATCGAACATGGTTGAACAAGCGGTCACGTGCTTCTGCGTACACCAGTCACCTGGTCACCGTGCCTGCAGGGTACAACTTACTAGCCTGTTTGACCTTTTTTGGGTGCAGTCCTGTCACTCGAGTTGAACTCGAGTTGAACCTTGGTGTGAAAGTTGTCACCCGCTGGCGTGGTGACCAGGTGATTTGGGCACCCAGGAGCACGTGACCGCTTGTTCTACCATGTTCGATTGGGAATAAAGGAGGAACGCTGCATCGCAGCCTTTTCGGACCAAAACCAGTCGACTCAGCGTCCAAAAGACTACAACATATGGGCCAATCGCGGTCATCCGTGCTTTTATAAGAACGAAATGGCGCTTTTAGTGACATTTTGCATACAAATCCCCATCTAGTAGGGCGCAGTCACCCAGTTTCGGTGGAAGTGCGCGAGTTCGATTGGGATTCAAGTAGGAAGGGAGCGTCGCAGCTTCCTCGGACCAAGACCATTCGACTCAGCACCCAGAAGACTACAACTGGTGAAAATTTGATTTTAGGGTATACTTCCCCTTTAAATCGTTTGCAGGCAACCTGCCTACACTCAAGAGAGCACTGCATTTCACACAAATCCATTAGGGGTATCGTTTCAACGTTTTCACGAAGACCGAAACGTTGAAACGATACCCCTATAGGGCCCTAATGGATTTGTGTGAAATGCAGTGCTCTCTGGAGTGTAGGCAGGTTGCCTGCAAACGATTCAAGTATAATGAAGCTGCGTGAAGCGTCCTTCAAAATTTTGAAGCTCATAACTAACGTTACTTTATTGGATAACACCGTGACTGTGTATTCACTGGGTATAAAAAATGGCCCCGAAAAGACCAACTCCCATTATTGCAAACAAAAACCACTGGTCCCTTAGTGTTCGTCCTAAAGACGTTTGACTGTAATACCGAGCATAATCCGCCAAGGGCTGCTTGTACTGAGCTCACCATACCATTAGATTGGACCACAGCATAGTTTAGCCCCACCAGCATAATGTAGCATAATCACTGGCATAATTCGGGCATAATGGAAAGCATAATTCGGCAATTTACCGACCATAATTTGCCAAGGGCAAGCATTCTGCGTGACACTTCATGAATAACACAGCTTGTGAGTTACACTACAGGCGGTAAATCCACTCATTACTATACCTGTACTGTAGATCTACCATGGTGTCATTAGATAATTTTGGAAGTCTCTATGTCAGATCTGTCTGAGTATCTCTCTACTCAGGCATATCACTTATACTGTTATAATTATTATTATCAGTCCAGCGCTTCCACGAGGTAAGAAACTTCCCTTGGACACACCAAGTAACACGTTAGTTGACCAACCCTGCGCGCAGCCAACAAAGGCGCTACACCTGCCACCAAAACAGGGCAACAAAATAGTTCAAAGGCAAGTGGGTGTGCGTGAGACTGAGAGGGAGAGAGAGAGGGGGGGGGGGGGGGGGGTGTAGATCTACATAGTGTAGCCTAGCCTGTAGCCTGTAGGGTAAGATCCTCAAATCTGGAAAGGGAACTAACAAGTAACATGTAGCTAGCCGGTCGGTAGCAACGCGAGTTTCAAAATAGTAACAAGTTTCAACCCTTGTGTAGCTTCCACAGACTGTACTGCGGACTACATGTATCTGATTATGAGGAAGGTTGCAAACGAACTAACGTTACTTAGACCGTTCTCTCTTATTCTCTCTTCAGAGAACTTCGAAGTAGAAGTACTTTGTTGTAGTTTAGATGAGCATGTTCATGGTAGCGCTTTGTCAGGCGCAGCTGTCAGTTCCTTCCGTCATTCGTTGACCACGTAGAGTCTTCGTCTTGTCTTGAGCGCTCGTCTGACTGTAGTTTGGTGGCCGTCGCCTGCTTACTGCACCGCTACAGTATTTGTTTGAAGAGCTCGCAATCTGTCATGTCACCGCTCAGCCTCTTGGTGCATGCCGCAGAACTGAAGTAACGGATGTATACAATTCATCAGAACCTGGAAAAATCGGCAAGCGCTTACCTGGGATGCCGAAACCTCACAGGTAAGTCATTCGAGAATGCAGCGGATTCGGTTATAGATCGAATGGAAAAGTCCACGTGAATAGCAGAGTTGGAGGTTCAGTCCCAATAATAAGGAGTAGGGAGTTCGCCGACTTTCTTTCCTTGCAAGTGAGCCAGGCAATTAAATTTGAATGTTGGGGAAAGAAATACATGTACATGATTGTACAAAAAAATCAACAGATAATTTTAATCATAACATAAGGCAGAAGAATATCTACAAGTAAGATATGGGGCTTCAAAGTCATACGCTGACCTTCATCAAAACCATGACAACTGCATACAGCATGTGACAGCACACTGGCAAGAGTACATAAACAAGAGTGTGCAGCTCCGCTTGATTTGGCCCACGGCGGAGTTTTTTTTTTTATTGATGTCACCTTTTCTGGAGATCCAACGGTGAGTCCTACCGTACGAGGCATGCACTGTCACTGTGTGGCTGAGTGAACTCGGCAGGGTTTGCACTAAACTCGGCAGGGTTTGCACTAAACTCGGCAGGGTTTGCACTAAACTTACACTACAAGTACAGTAGAATCCTACAGAACTAGTAACAGAAGCGATAGAAAAAGTGAAAAAATCTCATTTTGAAAGCAGCTAAAACACAAACTCGTGATGAAGGTCCAGCGCATGCTTTGCGCATGCTTTGTACGACATGGATCATAGATTCTGCGAAAGGCGATGTCAAAAATATCCCCAGCGGACCATACCATCTGTGGAGTTGCCCGCTCTTGTTCATGTACTCTTGATACTGGTCTTGGCGCCGAGGAAACTATTGTTCACATACCTGGAATTCCCCTAATGAGAAGGCTTTCTTCAGGAACAAAACACGCAAGAAAGCATGCCATGGTCCTTATTCGGTGCGCCTCTCGCTCACTGGCTCTCGCTTTCTCCGCTCACTGTATCTGGTTTTTGCTGTATGTGTCCTCTTCCCTTGCCAGGTTTGGACGCAGTTTTCTATCACTGCCATGTTACTGTGTTGCAAGGTTTCCCATCAAGGAGTTTCGAGTACGGATCCGTGTGCACCGTGCTCCTGCAAGGATCACACCCTCTCTGATTGCCCGGATAAGACTGTAAACTTGTGAGTGTTCACATGAGCATTAAATGTTTCCATTTGTTTGTGGCCTGTGTCTTGGCTCTACCCCCGTGGTATTGAACACTTTTTGCAAGGATCTAGCAACATACTTGAATTAAATCAACAAATTTTGGCCGGCGAGAAACTTTGGCCGATCTCAAAATGAAACTTTTGGCCGATTGGGGTTTTCAAAAACGAAATCAATCGGTATGTGTTGCTCTCACTTGCAGTTCTGACTCAATTATGCATCATTTGCCAATAATTAAGATAAACTTTGGACGGTGATTTACTTTGGCCGCTAGGTACCTATCACTCAGAAGTAGCAACAAACTCGGCCATTTGAAAATAATATCAACCGTCCCACCTCTCCACACTGCACTCTTGGCCCACATTCACAACAACGCTAGGTACCAAGCAGCGAAATTAGATTACCAGCGAAAATTAGTTGATCTACAAGTTAACATGGTTATAATTATGCACTCCATTCTCCTTTTTTCTCATGCAGACATTTTAAAAGTGAATGTTCTATTCAATTCCTGTCGACCCAGCTTTTCAGAAGCAATAATACACTATTACGGGAATTGTAAGTAGTATTTTGACTATTTGTACATTATCTTCTTATTTGTTTGGTTCCTAAGCTTATTGTAGTGTATTTCTGCCCACCGTTTGCAGAGAGTATTGCGCTGATATCTCATTTCAGTGCGAGGTAGCCATAAATCAAGACAAAACACTGTTGAGTGATGTGGAAGCTATATGCGGATGGAGGCCGTTAATGCTTAGTGCTCTGAAAAAATGCAAAATTGATTTTCCGTAATACTGACCTACGGCCCTTCGTTCAACACAATTTGGTGATCAATAAGTTGATCACCATTGTCGTTCTCCTCTTCCCCATCGTCTCTCTTGTCCTATCTCTCTTTCTTTCTTTTTTTACGACCATACTCCTCATGAGTTTCTCGCTCCACATATACTCCACACAAAGACATAGACAGCAATAGCGACAGCACACAAAGTGAAGGGTAGTTGGCCGCAGCCAGATGTGACAAACCAGATGCCATATTTGCAACTGAAAATGTTTCGCGAGAAATCGTTTCTCGCCTATCTCGCTGCGCTCGGCCGGCGAGAAATACAACGTCTTCTGGCTTGCATATGTTGGTTGTTCCTATTCATGTTCACCCCACTATGCAGGCAGGCATAGTGGGATGGTCTAAGACCATGATTGAGAAACAGAGGGAACCAGGTTCAAGTCCTGCTTGGAAGCGGAAGGATTTTTCCAGCCGTGCTGCGCGGACCCACAGTTAAATTGGGAACTCGTGGCCTGGCACGAGGGAAGCACGGATGCAGTGAATGGGATTTTCGGTCTTTGGCCATTGTGTGGTGGGTCTGATCTACTCACCTCCCATCGCTTAGGCCCAGGTCACACCGAAACAAGCCACTTTGGGCTTGTTATCGCTGGCGCTCAGCTGGCTTGCGTGATCCCTGTGACGCGGTCACACCAGACCTTGAGCTTGCAAAGCTTGAATGGCTTGTTTTTCTTACCCGCCAAATTTTGAATATCTCGAAACACACCAATGTTTGCAAGAAACTGGAGAGCAGAACGTTCGCGATCTAAAACTGTACTTGTTCTAGTGTTCAGTTTTGATGAAGAAGCAAAGGAAGCCCGGAATCTGAATTGCGAAGTCGTGCTCTTTTTATTTGTTCGGTGTGCATGGACGCGATGGTTCGGGTGGTGTTTCCTGATGTCGAGCTTTCTGCCCCGCCGGTTGCCGTTATTGAACTCAGTTGCAATCCACTCTCTTCTTCGTACCCGGCTTTCTTCATGAATTCGGTCGTGAGTGTGGTGCCTTGTCTTGGCCTCAAACCACAGCTCCAACAATCTACGCAGCAGTCTAGAGGCACAGCGGCATAAATCCACGGTCGTCGGGCAAAATCCAAATCAAACTGAATACAGTGTAGTTGGGGTAGACAGACTCACGGTCAAAACCAAAGGCACAGGGATAGCACGGTTCCACGGACACAAGAAAGAACATCAATATCAGTTCATCATGTCAACTAGCTACATGGTGTGCTCCGGAGCTCCAAGCGCACTCAAATTATTTTTTGAATTTCAGCTTTCAGCCGCTTGTACAAGCTGTGGCTGAAACAAGCCGGAAAAAAACGGCTGAGAGTCAGCCACGGCTGAAAGTCGCTTGTAGGACATTTTTCAGCCATTTCCATGGTAATAGTGACGTAAACAAGCGCTTGTTTTGGCTGAACGGCTGAATCGAGCTCGGTGTGACCGCGGCCTTAGGAGCTGCATCTGCGCCTTGATCCAAGAACGTGGTGGCGTTCCTGCGGATGCGGAAAACTCGGCTTCCAGCCAAGTCTCACGCAAACCGTGAAATATTTAATTTGTTTTATTCATGTTCATCAAGTATGACATACTTCCTATACGTTATATGATTTTTTTTCGTTTGCTGTCCTCCCAGGTTGTTAGCCGACAACCGCTTAAAGACCATACCCGCGAGTCTATTCCGTAATCTTAAATCTTTGCGAAACTTGTAAGTAGCGAAAGCATCACGTGCGGACAATTGAATTGTGTAGTATTGCTGTTTACTAGATACCGTATTTGCCCCATTGTAAGTCACACTCGATTATAAGCCGCACTCCCTTCTTCAAGTTTGAGCCGTATTGTTTAGATATATTCACTTCGGTAGTGAGTCACGCTCGATTGTAAGGCGCATCCCATGTTTTGGCCTTGAATTTTAGTGTAAAAAGGTGTGACTTATATTCGGGGAAATACGGTACATTTCCTGTCTCCATAGTGAGGACGGTCCTCATGCCATTGCCTTGCACTGGTTAACAAACTTCATTCCCTGCAGCACACCCTGCAGTAATACATCCAATCCCGATGGCCTCCAAAGTTTTATGACAGTTCTTTGTGATCTTGTGCTCGCAGAGACTTGCAAGGAAATGTTCTCACACACTTGCCCGGCGGTCTTTTCAAGTTTACTGTCAGCTTGATGAAACTGTAAGTGCTTCCTAAACCTTTTCCTCTGGTTGTGTAGACTCCGCTGTAGCCACTCCATCTGGCACACAATCATACACCACTGCCCAAAACAGTCTCTCGGCTACATTTCTTCCAAACATATTATAGTTTCAGGGTTCTAGCCAAAGGGGGGTAGGGGGGCGCAGCGCCCCCCCCCCCCCCCCTACTTCGTTTGCGCCCCCCCCCCCCCCCCCCTGTGAAAAAGTGCCGCCCCCCTACTCATTTTTCGATTTTTGTGTTTTTCACGCCATTCAACGAAAATACAGTCGATAGTCACTACTAGAGGGTTCATAAAGGCACATTTGTGAGGGGTGAAGTCGGGGTTCACCCTGTATGTTACATTTTGCATGGCAAGACAATTTTGGACAATGGAAAAAGATGGGTCATGAGGTAACTTTTTCCCATGCCCGCCCCCCTACTATATTGACCTGGCTAGAACCCTGAGTTTTATCCAAATGTTTAGGCCTAGCCTGAAAATTTGTATAGAACTATAATATGTTTGGAAGAAATGTAGCCGTGTGACCCTTTTAGGTAGTGGTGTATAATTGTGCTTCCTAAACAAGCTCATATCCTGCCATGTCAGTGTGTGTACTTTCTTTGACTCACTGGTTAAAATGAAGGTGGCGGCAGTCAATATTTTTCTTCAGACTAAGTTTCTCATTCCGCTCCGTGAAAGAGGGCTGTGAGTTGCCTCTCAATGTATCCTTGGCAACAATGTTAGGTTTAAAGAAACTGCACATGCCTTACTGCCGATAGGAGCATGTAAACAACAAGTGGGACCCTAGAAATTGAGTTCTGAAAGTGCTTTTGGCCGAGAAGGTTTTCGAAGATGTTGGTGTATTCACTCTTGATGCGATGAAGCGGTGGTACAACATGCAGGAGGGTATGCAGTGCATTCCATTTTGCGCAGTGTCAAAATGGCTGCACATGCTTCGATTTGCTGCTGCGATGGAAATTCCAGTGCACATCTTGTAGGATCGCCTCCGAAAAATGTGCTGTTTGATATTTTATTATTTTATCCATGACTTTCAAGTTCCTTAGCAACTGTTTCATGTGAACATTTGGTAACTTATACTAAAAGGGAGTGTGCTTGGCAAAGTGGTTAAAGCATTGGCCTTCCAAACGTGAGGTTTCGGGTTCGATTCCTCGCGTGAGAGGAAAAAACATGCGCAAGTAATTCCACCTGTGACAACAGATCACCTTTTCCTTTTTGACAGGACATGCTGCATGCCTGTGTATACTTTTCTTGCTAGGGTCTATGCAAGCTTTTACTTTAATACTTTTGTTTCTCACCAGGAGATTGTCGCGCAATCAATTAACACGTCTGCCACCCCATCTCTTTGACAATCCTCAAAAGCTGACGTATCTGTAAGTGAACATTCTGCCGCATAATATAATAGACATGGTTAGCATTTTACCGTTCACGTTATTTTCGACAGTCGGCGTGTAGATGGCGAGTCTACTGATTCTTGTATGTTTTCGAGACCCGGTTAGCAGTTCGGCTTCTGAGTCCTGAAAGACTCCTGACTCCTTACGCAACGATCGACTTGTGACGCAACCCTAGTTGGAATCTTACCGTTTCGTTCTCCCGCTAAAAAGAGCTTTCTATCGTCGAAACGGTACCAAACCGACGGTATTTTTGGGTTTGGGGTACGAGTACCGTTGGATCTAGAGCGTGAACGGTAAAATGCCATGTCCACACACACAAAAAACGGTACAGGCCGACCATCGAAAATAGTGTGAACGGTAAAATGCTAACCATGTCTATTAGGCCATATTGTTACCGTCTTAATGTAGGTTTGCAGCGTACGGCAAACCGTAGTTATCGCTGACAACCGAGCAGCAGGCAAAAGCCACGCGCGTGGCTAGGCGCGCAACAATGGGGGTGTCTGGCATGCAATGGCGGGCAGCCGTACTGGGGAAAGCCCAGGCCGCAGTACGAGTACGCCCATATGCGCGGGCGAGACTACCCCATATTTGCATAAAGGTATCAGCGCTACTAATGCAATGTTTACTACAAGCAGGGCTCATGGCGCCTAATCTCTATATTAGGAAGCAGTTCCTTTCATGGCACGAAAGGACTCCAGCGCGCGTACTAAGCCTCAGCCAAGGTACAGTACTAACCGAGTACGCAAGATAGAACAGGCGGTGTGGCGGAGCAAACATACCACGTATGGAAGAGGCGAAGTCTCCGGATGCCGCCCGGCCCACAATGACAGACACCACCATGCTTATATGGGAAATAAGGCGCGAGAGCCCACCAGGTAAGGCGGGCCACATAAGCACGTGGCAAGCGCAAATAGCGTAAGACGTACCCACGAGGCCACAACGCGAGAGTACGACAGCATGAGCAGAGTACGAGAGTACGAGGCCGGATCAACGCAGACCAAGGTGTGGTAGTGCCACAGCACGAGGCACCTCAGCAGTTGGAGGTGGCGAACGCAGGGACAGCATCAATATTGGCAGCTAGCAGCAGCAGCAGATGGGCGTGATTTTTTTTTTTTTTCTTCAAGACTAGCAACGAGGAGCAGCAGGCAACCCTCGTTTCACTCGTGATTGCTTAATCACATGGCAAAAACAACAAAAATGCAACCCCATTCTATGGTGCTATGATGTGTGTGTCTCGGGGGGAGGGGCGATAACTGTACATGTATGTCATCACCTGTTTAAGTTAAAGCCATGCCAGTATATTCGATTAGAATCCCTGAGCCAGTCTCAGATGTAAAGTCATGGCCTTTATAACTGAGATAACACTTGAACTATGTTTTTGTAAAAAGAAGCAATGAGTACCAAAATCAATTTTCTAGCCCAGCATCAAGTGCAAAACTCGGATTTAGATTGACATTCTGTGTGGACATTGACTTTTATAACATGGCGTAGTAGGTGGGTAATTTCGCATCTAGAAACACATTGCGGGAAATCACGCGACACCTGTACGTCCTCCGTATACAAAAACTTCGTGCCTTTTTTTGAAAGCTGCGCACAGCTCTGGAATTGTTCCGTTTGACTCGGAATAACACTCGTGGCATTGTCTAACCGGTTTACAAGCTATATACAAAGAAAAAAGCAAACTCAGACGAATGAGATTGAGTTTTTTCAGAGTCTTCGTCGCTCATGTCATTGTCACCTGACGACGCTGACTCTGCATCGCCAACAGTCGCTGCTTCCGCTCGCATTTCGTTCAGATTCTTGTCACCTGCAGTGATGATCCGACGCTGGACTTTGGCTACGTCTTCTTCATCTCTAGAGTCGTGTACGAATCGGTGTCGACTATATTCAGTCGTTCCAACCCGCGACCTCCGTTATACCGTGAAACGAGTCGTACAAGCACATCCACACGCTTCGCATTTTCTCGCCCGGATAATCCTCCCAAGCATTCTACAATGGCTTCGAGGAGCTCCCTGCGACTCCCCTTGGCGACAAAGGAGACGTCTGACTGGAGAGAGGCGAAGAAAGCCAGGCTATCGACATTCTGATCCTGAGTCTGCGCTGGTTGCACGACGACTGAAATGTTTCATCTTGCAGTGCGAGCGAAACAAATCTATGTTCTCACACTGCGTAGAGTATGGCCCTATGGGGCCGCGCACCGCAAGTACGAGCCTGGCCAGTTTCAGGGCAGCGAGTGCCGCGTGACCCCGTGTTCCAGCCAAGAGCTACACTTCGTCACTGTGTCAGTTTCGAGCAAGTAAGTGTTAGTTTTTTTTCATTTGACTCTTGGGTTTCTGTCAGCAACGTCCTCACACGCATGGCGTCCGTGGAGAATCTGTTCCGGATCAACCAAACTAACCTCGACATGGACGTGGGTTGTCGATGACAGCCTTTGGCGCCGTTCGTTGAGCAGGTTCTTGCTCAAAAACACCGTTCAAAAAAGTCACGAAGTTTTTGTATACGGAGGAAGTACATTTTCGATCTGCAGGATGAAGATGACGACGCCCATGCATTTGGTATCAGGGAGTAGTAAGATACTGGTATATCACTACTCCATGCCTCAAATCGTACTGTCAAGGGCATACGGGGAGTGTAGCATGCCATCGCTTACATTTTCCAGCTTAGGGTTGCCGGTACAACATTACACCTTCAAGTAGCCGAGCCCGTTGGCAACAGACCCAGCACAATCAGGCATAAGTGTACCCACCAACCGAACTAGCTGGCACACACACACACCTTTGACCTTTGACGCCCATCGCCGGAGGCGATGATAGCAATGCTACGGCAGAAGCCATAGCAACTTGTGCTGGGATTACACCATTCAACAGCTTGCAAGGCTGAAGAATTGACCGTCACTATTCAGCCTGGTCTACACCATACAGCTATTTGGAGTGACATTTTCTGGCCAGTGAATCCCTTTTTTGGTCTTTTTCATTTTTTTTCTTTTTCTTTTTTTTCTTTTTTTTTCCCGCACACACATCACACCACATACTCCGGCATGCACTGGCTGTTGGTAACCACCCAGGAGAATGAAAGAAATGTCAGGAAGAGTCTGAGAAAGAGAAGAAAGACGTGTGTGACCATAATCGTCGGGAATCGAACCCGCAATCTATCGATTGGAAATCGCTGCACATACCACTGCACCATATGGGACACACACACACACACACACACACACACACACACACACACACACACACACACACACATACGCACACAGTGACACACATACGCACACAGTGACACACATGCACACGCATGCACACACATCACGTGCAGCTCATGCGCTGCACTTTTAAAGTCCCTGCTTTGCGGGCCACCTGGTGGTTTTCTGTTTCAAACAAGTGACTACCTTACAGTAGAACAAAGATCCTGCTAAAACGTCTCAGAGAGAGACACCTCCACCTCATTGCCCACCCCAGTATAGAAGTGAAGACCAGGAGGTACATACTGCATTTTTGGAAATTAGCGCCGGTCTCTTTTATCGCCCGTCAGAAAAAAACCAAATCAGGGCTTTTGTGTGGATTTTTGTCAAATTGGGTGATTTTTGGGCTCGCAAACTACTAAGTGCCTTGGCCAGTATTGCAGAAAATAAGCGCGTACTGCATTGACATACCCTCAACAGAACTGGACAATCAAGTTGACCACAATACATACTTACGTAGCCAAGCTTCACTCTCCTCATATCTTCCCTGGGCTTCACACTTTTGGCAAGAGAGATGTCATATAGAGTGGTTTCACATCTGTCACATGACCACATGGGGCAGCCATGTTGGTTCCAACTCCACACAAACCCTGCATCTATGGGTCACATGATGTCGGCCATGTTGATTGCACTGTCCACATGCCATGATCACTTTCTGCACAAACTTAGTCACATGACAAAGATGTGAAACCACTCTATAACCTCTCATTAGAACATGGACGATCTGGTGGTCTAGGAAACGATTAATCAGCGACGTTCCTACCAGGGGCCTTATCTGAGTTCAAAGCCTGCTGAATTGTAATTTTACTACTCTTTCATGACGCGCTCAGGGCCTTGTGTTCACTTAATTAAAGCCACTGAATGTATTCCTGGCAGGTGTGTACAACTTTGTGTACACGTTACTTCAAAGTTACAGTGTAGATATATGAACCCTGCAGGAAATTTAATTTACGGTGTGCGACTAAGACAAAGAGCTTTCTTAGTTTCTTCGTATTTCATGAATGAAACCGTTCCTCCTGTATCACAGCTATTCAGTTTAATCTGTACGACTTTCCTTTGTCCAAAGCCAGCTGAGGTGGACATCCCCGAGTGAGGTGATATGTGGAGACATTCCTGAAAGGGGTGCGGTATGTGGAGACATACCTGAGAGCTAGGGTGGTATGTAGAGACATTCCTGAGAGCTAGGGGTGGTATGTAGAGACATTCCTGAGAGCTAGGGGTGGTATGTAGAGACATTCCTGAGAGCTAGGGGTGGTATGTAGGGACATTCCTGAGGGCTAGGGGTGGTATGTGGAGACATACCTGAGAGCTAGGGTGGTATGTAGAGACATTCCTGAGAGCTAGGGGTGGTATGTAGAGACATTCCTGAGAGCTAGGGGTCCTGGCTACCAATGGACGAGATTTCAGGGTCACAGCTTGCGCAATGGCTTTGTACTTTTGGAATGGCCACTCGACGTACTCAGCACAAATTCTCTATTGCATGCATGCACAATATGTTCAAATTTCGTTTTTTGGTGACTTTACCACCGTCATGGAGGCTGGTCGGTGAGGAGCAGGTAGCCATCGCTTGTGGAATCAAACACATGGTTCCACTATGTGGCTGATTCTGCAAGAGCCAGGTCCATACGAGGAACATTCGCTTTGTGTTTTGCCATCGAAGTAAGTCAATTTCCTTGTTTTCAGTTTTTTTTACGTTCAACGTTTCTAAGATATTTTGAATTATTGACTTTTCATTCTTTCATGTTCACTGCCTCGCTTGCCGTCTGATCTGGATAATGTGATGGAGGTGACTGTTGGTTACTGCCTGGTATAACGGTTGTCGTGCTGTTGCTGTATTTCCGTTCTGCTCGCGACCTTGTAGATCACAAACGATTTGAAATCACATGAATTGTACTTACCGTCGTGCGTGCAGTTGTTGTAGTACGTTATTTTGTGTACGTCGTGTGTACGTCATGTTGGTGCATGCGCGTGTTGCTGTGGTGTGAAAAGCTGTCTTCGTCTTGAGTTCATCATGTCTTCGCCTTGAGTTCATGATGTCTTCGTCTTCAGTTCGTCATGTCTAGTTGTGTTTCTTCGTCGTGTCAATAAACAGTCTTCTAAATGTAGTTATCGTCGCCCCTTTGTACAAGTGTGGAGATGGCACGGGACTGGGAGCAGGCAGAGAAAAGCGAGTTACAACACAGTATTAGGAAACGCTGTGCAGATTTGATCGTCGCAATGTATCTGTATGTGTGTCTGGTCATCCTGTGCCACGCAAGAACTCCAACCAGACGCATTCGTCCTCGGCCCTGTTGATCGATTGTCCACTTTCCTTGAAGAACGATCGATCAAAAAAATCGAGGACTTCTTGCAAAAAAACGGCTGAAAAAAGGAAGAAAAAGGGTGGTCAGAATGAGATTCGAGTACACAACCATGGTCCTAGCAGTTTATGTGGATGTCGCTCATAGATGCGAGATTTCGCGCAATGAGCTTGGACAGCAGTGGTGTTTCAAATATGGGGCAATGGCTTTAAAGACGCGGACACATGTATATGTACGGTGACCAGTCCAGACCCTGTGAGCAGAAAAAAAGGTTTGCATCCAACAATTCACTCGCAACCCCACTACCACTCGTAGCTGGTGTGTAGCGTTGAAACAGACTTGCTTCATTTGCCCCGGACAATGAAGGGCAGGAAAATTATCCACGGATCCCAGTGAGGCCTTTATGGCCGAAACAGCTTGCTGTCTACAGCATTGGATAGATCCCATTTATGGATTTTTCCAAATCAAACGGAATGATGATATATTTCTGCATTAAGTGGCAGCCAGAAAAACATTTTCAATGCAGAATGAATTCCATTTGGGAGCCCATTTGGTTGGGAGTACTTCATCGCAAAATTTCAGACAAAGACCCTTTGACTCACCCCTAGTCTTCGGGAAATTTTCACTTTGCAAGCTAGCACTGACACTGACAAGAACTGACTAAGAAGCCATGTGTATATTGGAGTCCTGTGTACTCCAGAATTTCAAATTGACCATGTCCCATAAGAGCTAGCTGAATGCACCAAACAAGACAGCAAACATTTGATTGGACTCGGATGGAGAGCCAAGGAAGAATTTATAGAAAAGAAAAAGGACCAAGTCGGTCAGTGTCGTGCAATGTTATCGCATGAGCTGACTGTTTGGTAACTGATGGTGTAAGTGGACATTATAGTGTAACTTGTAGTTTTGGTCCTTTTTCTTTTGTATGAACATTTAATTGTTGTGTTTTCCCTCCAGCGGGTTGGACGACAATCTTCTTGAGCACTTACCTGATGGTATATTTGATGGTCTTCGATCGTTAATTTCTCTGTAAGTATGATAGTGAACAAACTGAGCGTATAAGTGCAGTGTACTTCCTACGCGTCATTACGGCAATTGTCACATTTATGACTTGGGGCTCCCCGCGTGCTAGTTTGTACATGAAGTGTGTGGGTTCCAGTGAGGGCTGCGTCCCACCTGCCTGTGTGGATTCACAGGAAGTGTTAGCTACGAAGTCTGAAGAAAATGTTGAACGGTCTCTGCTGGGATGATGACTACACCATAGGTCAGTGGTTAGAGCATCGCTGGCTACAAGCGATCCCTGGTTCGAGTCCTGGTGGTGACAGTCAATTTTGACAGTCAATTTTTTCTTCAGCCTTTTCCCGTTTGTGTCTTTCCCTCAAACCAGTGAAAACTGTCACTTCCCAGAGCGATTTTTTCAAATTTATTTTGTCCACACTCAAAGGGCAAAGAAATCAGCTAGAAATCAAGACCGAGCATTGCCGACAGACTACTAAGCTTGAGTTTGTGATCTCCCGCTTCACTGCACTTGCGGCTGAGGTCGACGTCTTCATCAGAGTTTGAGGCAGACCCTTCAGCACTCAACAAGATGCTGAACAAGACGCGCGTTCAAAAAATCAAAAAATTCTGGTCATGAAAATCCGTTTTCAAGCGATCGATTATTATTTTATTTTTTTTAATCTTATTTTACTAGGGAATTTCCAACAGGCGTCATCGCCTTCTTACAGGGAATCCTAAGAACATCTTAATGGATGATCGAAATTCACTGCGGCAGGTGAATTAGAAAGGCGGTAAGCAGGTGGCAGTGCATTCCACCGGTCAGCGCCTACGTAAGAAATTGCACTGAAACCTATGCCTCCAGGTGGCAGGCAATGACATCAAACTAGCATTTTTTGAAGTCATAGCCAGCAATCGCATGTCATCACGTACATTCAAAATCAACATAATTTTTCGAATCGACCTTTTTTTCAGGATCACTTTTCAACGAGGACGAAGCAAAGTCGGCCGAACGAAGCCTAGAGGAAGAAAATCACCCTCTCCACTTGACCATCATGATACTGACATAGATACGAGATGAAACAACTAAAAAATCCACAAGAAAACTGTACGGCCATCATCGCGCTGACTTTGGTCTGACTTTGGTCTGAGAATTTCTATCACGATCAAAAATGTACAAGGAGCACTCAAAAATAAGCAACAGACGTACCTCTATCGCTCTCTACTCCTTTTTCAAGGCACAAAAGTCGACTCTCCACTTTCAAACCAGGGACCAGACATACCAGTGGTCCTTTTCAGCTGCTCCACGAGCGCAGGAAATGTTCACCAAGGGGCGCAGAGCAGCATCCATTCCAGAAAAAGAGCTAAAATACGAGTGAGACTGCATGCCTGAGTACATGAGTACATGTATGAGTACATGCAGAAAATAATCAATTTCAGCGTTTCTGCTCCAAACAGCAACTAGCTTCGACTAGAAACAAAGATTACACCAAAGGATCAAACAACAACCATTTTCTGCAGTTTTTTTGCAGATGGCTTCCTTGTGCTGGGCTCAGCACGCCAAAAATCACACCTCGGAGGAGTACAAAAATTACAACTCTCAGATGTCCTCGACTGCTGGCCATGATTCTGTAACAACCTTCCGGCGGGATTGGGAAAGCAGTTCCACACCTTCCTTCCTTGACAAGCTCTTTGCTGATTTAGTTGGTGTTTTCAGACCTGCTACCTTTGCAGCAACATGCGCCACACGTAGCGCTTTTTAGGGATTTGAGAACACTTTGTTCTTGCCATTGTCAACTTCAGCATGTCGAATTCAGGAGAGATGCCAGGATTCTTATACCCGAGCTTCCTGTCTTGATAAAAGCCCACGCAACGATGTGGGCCGGAACGAACTCGAGAAAAAGATACTTCCTCTAGGACGAAATAGTGCAGAGCGCGATAAATTTGTTTGGTGCGGAAGAGAGCTCCGAGACCACCACGGCTTCCGTAACAAGTAGACATTGCGCAGGAAGAGTCGTACCAATGTTCGAACACAGAAAACAGCGATTCCGACAGTCAGACTAAGACAAGCAAGTCACAAACATTGCGATGTGCGAAGCGACAATTGTACTGACCCAGATGAAGTACATTAAAAAAGATAAACAGTTAGGGGAAGTGAACTGCCTGAAAAGAGAAAAAAATGCCAACCGCACCAGGACTCTAACCCGGACCTTTCTTGTCATGAGCAATGCTCTACTAGTAACCATCTGAGCTATGGGACCAAGCAGGACCTAGAAGACGCTGACGCGGTGTTCACTCCAAAGGCAGCTCGCAACACGTGCCACACATACTGATGGCACTTGGGTCGTTGTCCCTACCCCGGGGACCAACCATGGTCAGTTTCTGGAACTACTACCAGAGTTGAAAGAAAGTGATTGGCTGTTGACCTTGAGTTTGAAGTTTATCCCATTCCCTTTTGAGTTTAAAGATTAATTCCTTAAATGGTTTGACTCTCCCGTGATCATTTGGACACTCGGTACATGCATGCGAACAATCAAACATATGCTCACGTGATCACTGGGTCTAGTGATATGAAGCAAACGTGATAGGGGCAGCCCTATGATATTGTGTAAACGCCCGTCGTTCACCTGTGATCATTTGGTCATGTGGTAATTGACTGTGAACATTGCACACACACACACACACACACACACACACACACACACACGCACACACGCGCACACACACACACACACACACACACACACACACACACACACACACACACACACACACACGCGCGCGCGCGCACGCACACACGCATGCACACACACACACACACACTTGTACTTGTACTTGCTCACTGCCAAAACTGTTCGTGTGGGTCTCCCTGGGAGAGGGGAGAGAGACTCAAAAGGAATCTTGGAAAGATGACTCAATTGGCTATTGAACCGCCCAACGGCCGACACCCCTTTAAATCCCTAAACTATGGGTTGACTTGGAAGTGATCCCACTTATGTGCTCATCACACCTCAGTAAGTAGGTGAGGACAAGGTGCAGAAAAAGGATTGAAGGCATCAGGGTATCCGTCTTGGGATCCAACTGCAGTTACCCCTGCCCCTAGTGAAGGTCTACTTGCTACTAGAGCGGGTGGCTAATCAGAGTGGATCTGATATAAGCTTCACAAGCGCCATACATGCACGCATATACATGTACACACACGTGCACACACACACACATGCACATGCTCACAAGCGCACGCGCGCACACACACACACACACACACACACGCACATACACACACACACACACACACACACACCGACACCATTGGACCATTGGACGCCCATCGCCGGAGGCGATGATAGCGATACTACAGCGGAAGCCATAGCAGCTTGTGCTGGGATTGCACCAATCAACAGCTTGCAAGGCTGAAGAATTGACCGCCACTATTCAGCCTGGTCTACACCACACAGCTATGAAGTGGGTTTTTCTGGCCAGTGAATCCCTGACACACACATACACACACATTTTACAGGTTGCTTGATTCTGGACAAACTATAATATCACTATGTGACATCACAATCCTTTGGCAAAGCTCAGGCAATGAGATTTTTTCTTCTTACACAAAGTTAAAAATTTGTCACATACCATTTGTTCTCTTCGTTTATGTGTAGGGATATGAAGGGGAATTCTTTGATAGAATTACCAAGTGGTCTTTTTAGGAATAGCATCAAGTTGCGTTATCTGTAAGTGATGCGTTACCAACTAACACGTTACATTTTGCCTAGAGTTAATCTTAATGGAGTTCATCACAACCAGGTTGATACTGAGGACTGTCTGAGGTACATGTGAATACATTGAATACACACACTGCATGTGGTTAATTAAGTCCATGATTCTGCACTTACCGGCTTCAGTTGGGAGTGGCACTCACTCCACATCGGATAACAGTGATACACAATAAGCTGGTGTAAGCCCAGTATACTGTAAAATCAGAAATTTTCGGTGGTGTAATATTTTCGGTAGTCTCCAAAATCGGCGGTTCAGTGGAGGAAAAATTTCGGTAAACCTGTTTTCCAGGTAAGTGTACTACCGTGGTAGTACTAATACCGAAATTTTCCGTGCGTTATATTATAGGTAAAACAAGAGTACATAACCCCCCCCCCCAGAGTGTGCAACTCCCACATACCCTGCTGTCCCGACAGAATTTCAAGTTGACGTCATTATTTATGACGCAATGCTCCTTGCACCAGTGATTTACAACATGTGTACGGGTGTCAACGCATCACACGTTTTTCTTTGCAATAATTTGTACAGGATCGATCGGCTTCGGTCAACCACAGGTTCCGGATTGGTCTGATAATCCGTGTACAGTGTGCATCATCAAAATGACGTCAACTTGAAATTCTGTCGGGACAGCACCCATAGTGGAGTTGCACACTCTGGGGGTTATGTACTCTTGGTAAAAATTGTCGGCACCGAAGTTGCCGAAAATAAAAAAAACACCACCGAAAAGTTCTGCTTTTACTGTAGTAGCACACTTCGGTTCACAGTACAAACATGCGCATGGTGCTGTCTCAGTCGCACTCCGTCATAAGTAGTTCTCTCTCCTTGCTGTCACCATGGCAACCACGGTGTGCGAGGTGCTCTCAAGGCTCTTCTGCTACTGTATGGCACTGGTGATGTGTTACGATGTCGGGTTTCACTGTCATTCTGCATTTCTTACAAAGGAATTGTGCATTGCTCCCTACACGGGCGCTCGTTTCTAGTGTTTGAGGTAAAATAACAGATGCCGCTAGCTGCTAGTCCAGGCTATAATGGAATATTAAAGCATACTGTGTGAATAGGCACCGGAGGTTCCTGTGTTGGTTTACCACAATCCTCTATTGGGGACTGACAATGACAATGTCGGGGATGCCAAATTCTCTTCGCCCTGGAATGTAGGCTGCCGTTTCTGATGCGTTGTGGGGAAAACACCCCCATTCATTGTATGTTGTTTTCTCCAGGAGATTGTCTGAAAATCAGCTAAGAAGCTTGCCTGCACATGTATTTGACAGTCTTCAAGCACTGGTTGTTCTGTAAGTCAACACCTGCCTGCAATAGCCAGGAATAAGAACTGTTCTGTTTTTGACTATACAATAATATGCAATTATAGTCCATTTCAAAAAGATTAGCAATCAGGTTTTGGTCTTAAAAAGTATGAAGACAAGGGAAATTTGGACAACAAAGTACATAGAATGGCTTGTTAGGACACGGCAAATTGTTGTGTGAAGGTTTCGGAACAATTGGACCAGCCGTTAAGGAGTTAGAATTTCGGCCAGGTTTCCGGCCTTTTCCCATGGTTTACAATTTGCCCTGGATGTCAGTATCGATTTTTTTATCAAAACCCACGATTTATCCTTTCCTTTTTGTCCTTGTGGTTATGAATGCTGTCTGCTGACCATGAAGTTGTGAGTTCAAATCCCAAACTTTCTTCAAGTCAAACTTTTTTTTCATTGTTTTGGTGATCACGCTGGTACAAAAATCACAAGCCAAAGAAGCTTGCTGCGCCCAACGACTTGTTGTTGGAGCTCGCGTTCCTGCCGAACTAACTTACTGACACTTGACTGGTTCACGCCATGTGAACACACCCACAACACTGAAACCGTGTGAGTGAACACGGAAATCATTGCGCTGTAGCTACGTCACGGTTGTTGAATCAACGGCGCCGGCACATCGATCGATCGACTTCTTCTTGCGAATTATTTTAGTATTTCAAGATCGTCAATTTATTTGAATTTGGGAGTCAACGCCGTCTTCTATGTATCAGCTTTCACAGGCGTCTGCTTTTCTCAAAATGTCGTCGAAGTCACACGGATAGCTTTGCCAAGTCATGGCTTTGGGAATGAGTCTGTGTCGATGTCGTTTTCGTCACATCGTGAGAGTAAATTGCATCGCAGCTCAAAGAAATTGGGCACGAAACGAATTGGGACCCATCCCGCTCGTCAACATTTACCACACTTTCGACATGTCCTCTCTGACTCCATATCGATACGAGGAAGAACTCGTTTGTTGTAAACCAGACGTACATGTACCGACGTGAGTGAGTTGTCATTTTCATGCTTTCGCGCGGATTATTTCTTCGAGTTCACAGTGAGTTTTTCCAGCCAGCTCTTGAGCGCGCATACGGTAAGACGGCAAACTCCCCGGGCGATCGCCAGGATTGCTAATCTTTTTGAAACTGACTGTAGTTGCACCCTACTTCTGTTTAACTTTAAAAATGTCACCAAGAACAACAACGACGACGATGACAATGACACCAACAACAACAACAACAACAACAACAACAACAACAACAACAACAACAACAACAACAACAACAACAACAACAACAACAACAACAACAACAACAACAACAACAACAACAACAACAACAACAACAACAACAGCAACAGCAACAGCAACAGCAACAGCAACAGCAACAGCAACAGCAACAGCAACAACAAGCAACACAAACTGCAACTACACACACTCTAGATGCGATCTTGCCGTACTTAAAAAAACTTCACAAGTTCACGGTGAAGTTTTCAATTTAGGTTGAACTTGCCCATTATTTATGAGCGTTAGCATGCTAACGCGAGTTAGCAGCCAGCCCAGCGAGCTGGCCCAACCTGCACGCATGCGCGAGTCACGTGGGCACGCGCCCTTCAAAATCCTGTACAATGTCTCTTTCATGTCATTACTGTTTGGACTTTCGAGCATGCAACTTGCGGAACAGGTGTTCCCAAAACAATTTCCTTTCGTTAGACTTTCAAGCTTGCATCCTCGTATCTCTACGTTTCAAATTCAGACTTCAATGACGCCTGTTGGTGCCTGAAACAATGTCGTCGTCTACAGTGGAACGTCGACTGTGGACTTTTAGCTTGTGCCATCATCAGGTCTCCTGAAATGAAGTACCTCCACGCGATCTCAGCGACCCTTGTTTGCCGGTGCCTTGAAACAATGTCGTCGTCACCAACCGGCGTCCAGCCTCTCCGGACCGCCTCGCTCTACCTGGCTCCGCCGCCCGCCTACTGCGAACGCAGCGACGGCCGCCACAGAGCACCACCACTGCAACAGCAGGCGCGAGCCTGACGATCGTAATTCGTATCCAGAGAGGCGAGTTCGTGGACTTTGATTTTCTGTTGGAAGTAACAACGTTAGTTGTCCACTGCCGTCACCAACGCCACCCAGCTTCTCCTCGCTCTACTTGGATCCGTATCGCCGCTCGCCGCCAGCAGGCCGGACCCGACTGGGAGCCCGGTGCAGTGACGACCGCCATATGCGCATGCAGCACCAACAGCAGGTGAACCTGACTGTCCTATACGGGCCCTTCTCGATCGTGTCCAGAGAGGCGAGTTCGTGGACTTCGATTTCCTGCTGCCCGATACAGTTGCAGTCAGTCCAGCTCCGGCGACGTTCCAACTCCGTAGCCCCTCATATGTTGCTCTTCTGGCGCACTAGCATTTATTTGAATCCGAACCCAGAACTGCGCTTCGTAGGCTGCATGACGGTAGCACTTGAGTTGAGACCTGGACAGTGTTCATGAATGGTCTGTGTTCCACTGTTCCTCACCGCGTTTCACGAGTGCCTGTGGATGTATTTGGCCACGATCGTCGCGGCCAATCGCCAGTTCTTGCCACCCAGAAACTGGACGTTATCGACAACTGTTTCGTCCTTTGTGAACTCATCAGCCGCACAGAGGGAATTCAAGTAAGCCGAATTTGATAGCAATGGAAAAAAATCTCCAAAGCCAGGTTATCAATATCAACCTGTGGCAACTGCGCCTCACGGTGTACTGGAACAGCATGACCCGCCTGCCAGCAGTGCAGCTCAGTGCACCCGCCAGCATTTCCGTGCGCATTTCGTCCTACTCACCAGTACAGATCCGCATCACGTACCGCAACCGTATGCCGCTACTACGAGTACGGCGCTTGCACGTGTCAGCTCAGGCAGTGCTGCCTCCAGTGCCGACAGGAGCACCCCAGGGCAAAGTGTAAGGCCTCATCAGTAACTGTGTAAGCACTCAGTTTCTCACTTCTCAAATTTACTGGACTCACATCCTGATCCTATGCTCCGGAGGTATTGTTGTCCCTGCCCTTTTGGCACGTGTGTGCCCCTTTTGGCACGTTGGTGCGGACCGCGCGCGGACTGCGCCGGTTGGAGATTATCGTACATGTTCTTGTTGTTGTGCGCATGCTTGCATGCTTATCGTGCGCATTCTGGTTGTTTTGTGGGCCTTCTTCCTGAGACTCTCCTTGGAACAGCAATGATTATCTGTCCTCTGAGTGTGGCGTACGTGTGATGGATGTATAAGAGTAATCGGAAGGGCTATCGTGCGAGGGAATAAAAAAAACCCGACGACAATTGGCGCCCAGCTAGTGGCATCGTTCCCCACGACCCTGAGATCGTTTCCGTTTTTGCCGTGCCTTCAAATCTTGCCTTCTCCACGCATCCTCGCCATGGCTCCGCTTTGCTCCATCTGCTCAACCCTGACGTCGGAGCTCCTACTCAGGTGAGCCTGCTTTGTCTGCCCTGCGTAATGTGTTGTACCTTGTACGTAGTTCTGCTGGTACTAGTCTTCGATTTGGGATTTTCAAAATAATTGTTTCGCTTCGTGGCATTGAAGTCCCGTGTTGTTCTCTTGTGTACAAGTACCTCGTTCGAGCCTCGCTCCTGTTAGTACATGATTGTGGCCCACGTTGTGTGTGCGGTGTTTTGAACCAGTGTACATTGTCGCCCTCCGGCCTCTGGCTGTTCGAGTGGTCGTGTGCACTGTGTTTCACACCTTCTGACTTGAAAGTTTGTTGTCCGTGCTGTCGTGCATGCTCATCGTGTTGCTTGGTACGTCATCATGGTAGTCAGCATGGGTAGCTTTGCTCGTGTTTGCTTACTCGCCCTGTGTTGTGCACTGGTGCACGTCGTTTCGGTGTCGTCGGACTGCTCCGATCCTGTGTCGTCTGATTTGTTTCAGTTTGGTAGATGTCCCCATCGATTTACTCGATGTGGTGGCACTCCGTCGTTTCCAGTTTCAAGTACAAGTGCTTTCTTTTTCGTTTTACTAGTATTCATGTTTTGTGTCGAGCGTTTTAGTGCTCCGCCTGGTTGTCCCGCTCATGTGGAATGGCTGACGCCCAGTGGTGTAACATGCTTCTGAGATTCTCGTTGACGGTCCGGGTGGCAATATTTCTGTGAGTGTGTTGTTTGGTATTTGTGTTTTGGCACGTGGGTCTCTTCATTTCACCTAGGGGGGCGTCCGATCATGGTGAGCCACGGTCTGCCTGGTGGGCTGGTGGGATCCAGCGCTTATTTGTATCGGTTCGCCTTGCGGGTGTTCGGTTTCCGTGTTTTGCTGGCTGGCCTTTGTGCGTTCCAGTAGGGTTCAGGACGGTGTTTTTTTTGGGTTTCGTGAGCGGTTGTGTTTCACGCGTGATATTCAGGTTCAATCCCTGTGGGTTTTTTCAGGTTAGAGACCTGTGGTTTTTTCAGGTTAGAGGCCTGTGGTTATTCAGGGTAGCGCCCTGTGGTTTTTCTATGTTAATTTTTGTTTGCGTATTGGTGACCGATTTGTTTGTGTGCTATCTGGTGTCCTCATGGATAGACTGCCCCTGTATCCGTAGGCGTGTTCAACGTTGCTGTTCTGCCATTCCTTCTTGTGGTTTTTCTTGTCTGAATTTTGGCTCCTAGTATTGCTGAGATGTTTGCGTCAGTCCTTGTTTCTTTCTTTCTGTGTGTGTATCTGTGAGTTTTCGTAGCCCCATCGGCTGAGTGATGGTTTTCCGGACAACTCCTGTGCTGTCAGATGACTGGTCACCCGGTTCAGCTGCCGTGGTCTTCGCCGTACCGTCGGTTTGCCTTGGCTTCGCACCAGGGCGAGGTGGTTGTTTTCCGGGGGCCCACGCCTGAAAGATGGCGGTTCCCTCTATGGGTGGGCCCAGTCTGTTTTCTTTCCACCCCTTTGCTTTGGCTTTTCCCCCGTTGTCCGGAGTTACTAAACATTAAATGTATCCTACTGTTTTGGCCCTGCGTATCTGCATGTGTATGTTGTTCACATTTGATTTCTTTTTCTCCTGTCTGTCTTCTCGTTTTGTTTTCTTCTCTCCCATCCTCAGGAGAGGATGCATTTTTTTTCATGTGGAAGTATGTTGTCCCTGCCCTTTTGGCACGTGCGTGCCCCTTTTGGCACGTTGGTGCGGACCGCGCGCGGACTGCGCCGGTTGGAGATTATCGTACATGTTCTTGTTGTTGTGCGCATGCTTGCATGCTTATCGTGCGCATTCTGGTTGTTTTGTGGGCCTTCTTCCTGAGACTCTCCTTGGAACAGCAATGATTATCTGTCCTCTGAGTGTGGCGTACGTGTGATGGATGTATAAGAGTAATCGGAAGGGCTATCGTGCGAGGGATTAAAAAAACCCCGACGACAGTATGTTGCACATGGTCGTAATTGTCGGGTTGTGGTAGGCTTCATCGGCAACCACTCAACTAACTGGGATCCATTGAATTTAACACGGTCACATGCTAACCCAGATTTTATTTCTGCGCAACGATCCGGGCCGTTTCTTGCAGCAGGCTTGAAACAGCTGGCCCGTGTTCTTCACCCCCTTTCTCATCTCTGTGCTGTTCCGGCGTAGATGCGGTTCCTAGACGAACGGGAAGTTACACACGACACACCCTTTGTAAAGCCTGGAGGGTCGAAGTGTCAACGATTACATTCCAGCAGACCGTATCTCTCCACAATGTCAAGATGACAATGCTGCAAATATGACTAGACAATTGCTCGCCCCGCTGTATCTTGCTAAGCTCGATGTTAAAAGTGCATTCTGCCGAATTCCCGTCTGCCCGGAGGAGTGGCCCTTGTTGAACCGCTGGCAGGATCAATACTGTTATGAGAGCGTCCTGCCCTTCAGACTGTACTACGCTCCCGGCCAGCTATAGGGAACTCTGTCGCATCCGCCAGTGAATGGATTGTGTGCGGGCAGTTCGCACTCCCACGCCTGTTGCATTACGGGAATACCTCAATTAACATGACTTCCTCAATGCATGCTCTGGACTTGTGTTAGCTCGCCAGCAACTCGCTATTCTGCTTCAGGCGTTTACATACCTCGGTGTTTCTCTGGCCCCAGCAAAAGTGGAGGGTCCAGCCCAAGTCCCGACATCTTCCCATTACGGGAAATACCTCGACTAACGTTTCTGTCTCCATGCATGCTCTGGACTTGTGTTAGCTCGCCAGCAACTCGCTACTCGGCACCGTGCGTTTACATACCTCGGTGTTTCTCTGGCGTCAGCAAAAGTGCTTCCTCGATGTACATGTATGCTCTGGACCTGTGTTAGCTCGCCAGCAACTCACTACTCGGCGCCGTGCGTTTACATACCTCGGTGTTTCTCTGGCGTCAGCAAAAGTGGAGGGTCCAGCCCACGTCCTGACGTTTATCGGCGTCATCCTGGACACCCGCGCGCTCACATCAGTCTGCCGATGGACGAACTTGCCAAGCTTCACAACCTCCTACGTGCCACTCTCAACACAGCTTCAATTACCCAATGTCAACTCGAGTATCTTCTGGGAAAGCTCTCGTTTGCTAGAAGAGTGATAGTCCCAGGACGCACATTGCAGATTGTGGTCACTTGCCAACTGGTACCGGCAGCCGTATTACCTGATCAAGCTCTCCGAAGAGTGCCTCAAATATCTTCGCTGATGGCCTGAGCTCCTGGAATAGTTGAACGGCCGGTCCTTCTTCCTACACCCTAAGTGGACGCCGTCCCCCAACTTGCTGCTATTCACTGATGCAAGTGGTGCACTTGGCTGGTGCGCAAACAATTGCGACCGGGGATAGGGCAATGGACAGTCAATCAAGCAAACCAGCCAATCGCAAAGAGTGGTTTGCAATTGTGGCAGCACCTGGGAAAGCTAGCGGCACCAGCTGCAGATGCCAATCGATCGACTTTACAGCAACTGCAAAAATCTTGCTCATCAGTTGTGGCTATGGCCTGGCGTTATACACCGGCCACTCGTTTCGAATCAGCTGCCGGACTCGATATTCAGAGAGGCGGGAAGGTGGAAAGCCATGTCTGCCCGAGTAACATTCAGAGGCCGCCAGCAGCCAAAGCATGGTTAACTGTGGCAATGGCCTCAGCCCATGATATCGAGTTCCTGTTAGTCAATCGTTACCGAGCTTGCACTGCTTACAAATTTCACAGGTAGCTGCACTTTGTGATCCGCTCCGGGAGTGCCGATTTATGGAATATATGCTCTCAACTGGTTATGCATCTCTATATATCTAGCATTTGGCGGCTCTATTCAGAGTCATTGCCGGCTCCATGCAGAGGCATTGGCGGCTCCATGCGGAGTCATTCGGCGGCTCCATGCGGAGTAATTCGGCGGCTCCATGCGGAGTAATTCGGCGGCTCCATGCGGAGTCATTCGCCGGCTCCATGCGGAGTCAATTGCCGGCTCCATGCGGAGTCATTCGCCGGCTCCATGCGGAGTCATTCGCCGGCTCCATGCGGAGTCATTTGCCGGCTCCATGCGGAGTCATTCACCTGCTCCATGCGGAGTCATTTGCCGGCTCCATGCGGAGTCATTTGCCGGCTCCATGCGGAGTCATTTGCCGGCTCCATGCGGAGTCATTTGCCGGCTCCATGCGGAGTCATTCGCCTGCTCCAAGCGGAGTCATTTGCTGGCTCAGCTGCGAGCCATTATACCAGTTGCTCGAATCGGCAGTCCCAGCTTAATGCAAAAACTCGGTTGCTCTGTTGTGAGGTGGGGGGATGCTAACTGAATGAACCGGAAGCTGAAGCACAGGCATGAAAACTCACTAGGGTGCTTTGTTTGCTTGCGCAAACAAATTCCTTTGCCAAATTGGATTTAGCCTTGTATGATTTATTTCAAACATATGTCTTGTTCAAATATTTGCTCATTGCATAGCTCTCTGCACAACAACTCCTTGTCGTTGGACCATAGACTCTGCGCGTTGGAGGTGGCGGAACGTACAATCAGTGAACCGTCATCTTTTGAAATCGATTCAGAAGTCCGGCATTACCTCGACAGCAGTACGTAATGAGTTTAGAAATAACGCAGCCTTGTTTACGTGTATCATTGATGTCCATCTTAGTACCACCTGAAGCAAAGAGACCAGTGGCATCCGTGGGAGTTGCCTACTGTGTACGGACGGTCATCCATGTACATGTATTGATGTATGGAGAGTCCGTAACTCAGAGTCACGGTGCAGCTGTGCTTATGGTTCAGTGCACGATGTGCTGCCTTCGTTTCGTTATCTCAGCCTGCATCACTGTGACGTCCTGCACTCATGCACCCAAACCCATGATCTCTCACACCAGCACATCTGCTCTTGCTTGATCCGTTCGAGTACCTACTCGAGCTCCAGGTTTTGGGTGCATTGTACTTTTGAAAACTCCAGTTCCGTAGGAAATCTGGCTTCAAACCACGGGAAAGTGTGGTGCTTGATTTTCCGCAACGCGTGGATTGTAGCTGCATGGTGTAATGAAGGTCACGGGCCATGCATCTGGTCCGTAGAAAAGAGATCACAGTTGCATACTCAGATTGTGTTTATGGACCCTTGCATGGATGCACATGGATAGGCAGCAACGGCACTTAAGTCCAGAGCAGCCAGGTATCCTGCATCACTGCCTACGTCACACCGTCCACCAGTAGCAACTTAGGAAACACACACTGTGTGATTCTGATCCAGTGCTTGGAATTTGAAGCCTCTCTGTGGCCCCGTTGACTGCTTACCATTGGTATTACTATTGGTTGTTCTGTTTGTAGGCAAGGCAGCCTCCTTTTGCTCCAGTTCTTGTGAGAATGTACCTGGAGAAGAGCAATCCTGTCCCCCTACCTGGAAGTGCACTGGTACTGTATCCAGCTATACCTGTGTGGGTAAGCCGCAGCATGTACAGTCACAACTACATCTCCACCCCTAGCTCTCAGGAATGTCTCTACATACCACCCCTAGCCCTCAGGAATGTCTCTACATACCACCCCTAGCCCTCAGGAATGACTCTACATACCACCCCTAGCCCTCAGGAATGACTCTACATACCACCCCTAGCTCTCAGGAATGTCTCTACATACCACCCTAGCTCGCAGGAATGTCTCCACATACCGCACCCCTTTCAGGAATGTCTCCACATATCACCTCACTCAGGGATGTCCACATCAGCTGGCTTTGGACAAAGGAAAGTCGTACAGATTAAACTGAATAGCTGTTATACAGGAGGAACAGTTTCATTCATGAAATACGAAGAAACTAAGAAGGCTCTTTGTCTTAGTCGCACACCGTAAATTCCCTGCACAGTTCATATATCTACACTGTAAAGCAACGTGTATACAAAGTTGTACACACCTGCCAGGAATACATTCAGTGGCTTTAAGTGAACACAAGGCCCTGAGCGCGGCATGAAAGAGTAGTAACATTACAATTCAGCAGGCTTTGAACTCAGATAAGGCCCCTGGTAAGAACGTCGCTGATTAGTCGTTTCCTAGACCACCAGATCGTCCATGTTCTAATGAGAGGTTATAAGAGTGGTTGTCATGTGACTAAGTTTGTGCAGAAAGTGATCATGGCATGTGGACAGTGGAACCAACATGGCCGACATCATGTGACCCATAGATGCAGGGTTTGTGTGGAGTTGGAACCAACATGGCTGCCCCATGTGGTCATGTGACAGATGTGAAACCACTCTATATGACATCTCTCTTGCCAAAAGTGTGAAGCCCGGGGAAGATATGAGGAGAGTGAAGCTTGGCTATGTAAGTATGTATTGTGGTCAACTTGATTGTCCAGTTCTGTTGAGGGTATGTCAATGCAGTACTCGCTTATTTTCTGCAATACTGGCCAAGGCACTTAGTAGTTTGCGATCCCAAAAATCACCCAATTTGAAAAAAATCCACACAAAAGCCCTGATTTGGTTTTTTCAGACGGGCGATAAAAGAGACCGGCGCTAATTTCCAAAAATGCAGTATGTACCTCCTGGTCTTCACTTCTATACTGGGGTGGGCAATGAGGTGGAGGTGTCTCTCTCTGAGACATTTTAGCAGGATCTTTTTACTACTGTAAGGTAGTCACTTGTTTGAAACAGAAAACCACCAGGTGGCCCGCAAAGCAGGGACTTTAAAAGTGCAGCGCATGAGCTGCACGTGATGTGTGTGCATGCGTGTGCATGTGTGTCACTGTGTGCGTATGTGTGTGTGTGTGTGTGTGTGTGTGTGTGTGTGTGTGTGTGTGTGTGTGTGTGTGTGTGTGTGTGTGTGTGTGTGTGTGTGTGTGCCAGCTAGTTCGGTTGGTGGGTACACTTATGCCTGATTGTGTTGGGTCTGTTGCCAACGGGCTCGGCTACTTGAAGGTGTAATGTTGTACCTGCCACCTCTGTTGGTTCCAGGGTTCATATACTTTCTATTTGAAGTATACATACCTGTTAACCATGGACTGCTTCTGGCTAGATTAACTCTTGTGTAATCAAAGGTGCTAGTGAAGCTCAGATCCACTCTGATTTAGCCACCCACACTAGTAGCAAGTATTACCTTCACTGGGGGCAGGGGTGACTGCAGTTGGATCCCGGGACGGATACCCTGGTGCCGTAAATCCTTTTTTCTGCAACTTGTCCTCACCCACTTACTGAGGTGTGGTGAGCCCATAAGTGGGATCATTTTCAAGTCCACCCAGAGTTTTGGTGATTTCAGGGGGTGTCGGCCGTTGGGCGGTTCAATAGCCAATTGAGTCATCTTTCCAAGATTCCTTTTGAGTCTCTCTCCCCTCTCCCGGGGAGACCCACGTGACCAGTTTTGGCAGTGAGCAACAAGTACAAGTGTGTGTGTGTGTATGTGTGTGTGTGTGTGTGTGTGTGTGTGTGTGTGTGTGTGTGTGTGTGTGTGTGTGTGTGTGTGTGTGTGTGTGTGTGTGTGTGTGTGTGTGTGTGTGTGTGTGTGTGTGTGTGTGTGTGTGTGTGTGTGTGTGTGTGTGTACATGCCTACTTGGTCCGCGTCAGCAATATTGTCGCTTATCTTTCGACAATTTGAACTTAGACTTTGGACATCAACGCGTGCACTTGAAGTGATAAAACTTGGTACGATGGAAGGTAAGGTAAAAAATGACAACTAGCTATGAGGAATTTATTGTCCAAGGAAGGGTTTATACTTTTTTCGGTCCTCCTCGTCGCTGCTCTCAGCGCTGGTGACAAATATTTTTGCTCGGGATCGACTCTCTTGCTTTTGCAAGCTCATCTCTCTTCTTCTCCGCTGCCTGGCTTTTTCTAAAGAGAAGTCGATCATGACGGTCGCCTTCTCTATAGGACTTCGCGTGGGCAGCACGACAGCTTGTGTGGTTCAAATCAGACGCCGTTCTTTGCAAGATTATATTTTGAACGACAACAACGACGCGTACAGTACTTGCAAATCTCCACGACGCGTTGGATACTCCGAGCGTTGAGCTGGAGGTAAGGGAGCTGCGATCTCAGCTTGACGAGCGATCCCTGAGGTGAGCAATCTCGGCCGTTCAGCAAAATGAAGCTGATTCCGAGTAGCCGATTACTTTCTTGCGACTTGCGCTGCTCTTGCCTGCACAGCGTAACAAGATAATCAATTTTGATGCGGCGCTGTATCAATCAAAATCACCCACCCGTCGCTCTCGATATCCACTCGAAATCTAGCTAGACCTTTCAGGTACTAGTAAACTAACTTACTAACCAAACTTGGGATGAAATGGGCTGCCAAGTGAGCATTGGCGACATGTAAACAAAGCTGAAAGATAAGCGACAATATCGCTGACGCGGACCAAGTACATGAAAAAACAGAGGGTCTGAAGCTCTTCTGCTAGCTGCTATGTGTTGTTTGTTGCTGTTGTATAATGGTCATGTTGGTCATCTTCGATCACCATAGTGTTCTTTTGTAGAACTTCCAAAACTGTGTTGCTTTATTTAATCTCGTCATCTCTTTCATTCGTCTCTCCTCAACAGATCGGTACTTTAATATGTTTGCATGCCGTGGATTCAATGTCAGCTTCAATGCGTACCCGAGAGTAAGCATTTCGGTTGCCCGCACAGAATGCAAGATCCAGGACCTATTACTTTTCAAGTTCACTCGATTTCTTTACTATGTGAAAGAACAGAAATGCTTCCAGGTTTGTCTGCAATGCAATTTTAAGAGCATCTGTGTGTGTGTGTGTCTGTCTGTCTGTCTGTCTGTCTGTCTGTCTGTCTGTCTGGGTGTGTGTGTCTGTGTGTGCGTGGGTGTGTGCGCGCGCGCCCCCAAAGGGGGGGGGGGTAGGGGATTGCACACATTTGTGTATGTGTGCGTGTGCATGCATGTGTCAGCCAGTTCAGTAGAGGTTTTGCCAGATAACAGGTTACTCACTGGGTATAATCAATCAAACTCACTGGAAGGTGTGCTGCTGTAGGAGTTACATTCTTTGCTAGAAAGTATATTTTTCGCGGTATAGATAATATATATTTTCACTCACAGAGCAACCGGTCTGTACGTGAGGTACTGTAAAATTCCGTTAATAAGCCCCGGGCGTATACTTTGCAGAGCATCAAAAACCGGGCGTATATTTGGGCATGGGCTTATTTTAGGGCATGGGCGTTATTTCGGACGCAATCTGCAGAAGATCAATCTATCACTAGTATCAGCAACCCACTAGTTTCAGTGAACTACCAATCACACTGAGCGCGGTACAGGTACATCAAACCACAGCTGGAAATTTGGTCGTAACTAGGGGTGAAACGAAGGTCTCAAATTCCCATTCGAAACTTCTTTATTAAAACGAACGAAGGTGTCGAAGGATTCTTTTTTAGCATGATCAACGCTCAAAAATCTTAAAAATAAAAGGGGGCAAAATATCAGAACCCAATACTTATATTGTATGTGCAATTTGTTTCTCAATCTGCTGGTATCAATGTATCCATTCCAGGTAAGAAAATACTTTGGCCCAGCTCACCACTATAGATAGAGGCAAGGTTTTAACATACTCTTGATAGAGGCCATACCCAATACCTGTTTGTGAGTCAATTGTCCATATTTCTGACAATTTAGATCAGTGTACTTGGGATCGTGTACAGACTTGCTAGCCTTGGCCTTTTTGACACAAAGCGACAAGAGATCACTGCTCTAGTATACAGCCAGTTGCGTGCTTGAACAATACCAAAATGGACGGAAAAGAGCCATATTGCGTAGTAAATATCAGATGCCCAACTTCATAAAAAAATTGTCAAATCTGGACATGTACTTTTCGCTTATCTGCTCGCATCCACCGGGTGCATTGGTGATTGAGAGGAGAGTGAATACCGGTAGTCACTGGGTGAGGAACTTCACCTGCGTCGATGATTTCAGGCCATCGCTGCGCTCCCTCTCGCTGCTGCTGGGAGAGTGAATACTGCAATGGCTTCAGCGATGGAAACTTATATTTTCGATTCAAATATTATGAGACTACACTCGTATCTCTGCTACAACTTTCTCCAGACACCATCACTAGCAGATATCGACAGCACCCACAGCAAGCTATAGTCCTGGTACAAGCAGCATAACTGAGTGAAAACACGATCGAAATCGCAAAACTACTCTCCTACTAGTATCGCAGAGCGCCAAACACTCGACGAATACAATCAAAAAAGTCATCCGTGTGTACACCATGGTAGATCTACACACCAACGCAAAACGGGAACACGCTGGTGACTGGAACAGGGCCAGTTCTTCACTGACTTGTCACTTCTTCAGTTCCGGTGCGCACGCAGACCGTGCCCCTACTTGTAGTTGTAGTACAGCATGTACACAGGACAGTGCTAGTGCATGCAGCACATCGCACAAGATCAATGCATTGATGCATGTACTAAACCCGTGTCGACCTTCGTTCGAATCAAAAACGAAGGTTCGTTTCAAAGGAAAACGAAGGTCCTTCGAACCTTCGACTACTTCGTTTCACCCCTAGTCGTAACCAAGAATGTAGCGATAAAGTACAGATTTGATAGGTAAACCACTTGTCCACTTTACACCCTTGGCTTATCTCGGGCATGGGCGCTAAAACGGACTTGAAGTGTACACCGCCTAAAACTGGGCTTATTATCGGACATGGGCGTTATTTAGGGTGGGCTTATTTACGGAATTTTACGGTAGTGGTCTACCAGAGAATGTACTCACAGAGAACGTGCCAGAGAATGTACTCACAGTGTACCGCTACACCACACTCGCAGCCACACGCTAGCAAAAAAACAAGGCCAGAAAATGATAAAGAGCATGTCGGCCAGCAAGAGAGATATCAGTGAAAAACGCGGGCAGAGCAATGGCACGGTGTGGGTGACTAGGCAGCAGGGGAGCGCCTGAAAACACGACTCCCTAAATTTCCAGCCACGACCGCTCAACCGGGCTGGAGGAAAAACTCGCCTTGTGGCCAAAAAACCCTTCTACTAATATGGGACCTGCCCCACTGCCGGTCACACCCAAAACGTGAAGAGAAGCAAGTGAAAAAAGTAACATGCAAAAAACACCGAGACCCTTGGTACACAAACATAAACACAGCATGCGGCATGCCATGGAAAACCAGAAACAGCAGAAAAGCAAGCAAAAACGTACGGAACCCAAGGGAGGGTAGGGTAGGCAGGGAAGCTCCAAGCTACCACGAGCAAACACAACACCATGATGGCAGGTGAGAGAGAGTTGCGCAGTGGAAGAGCAGCAGTTCACGGAAAGAAAATGGTGAGTGAAAAATACATTTTTTTACATTCTTTCGATACGCTCAGCCGTGATAAACCAACACAGTTTTGTAGAGCTAGAGAGATCCTAGGTTTGAACCCCAAGACAGACAGTTATTTACGTTTTTCTCTCCTTGTTAAGTTGTATATGTACATGTGCATGAATCTACATGTTACATCCCCCCCCCCCCCCCGCTACTACACTGCTGTACTTGTCTAGCATGGCTCTAGGGTACTTTAAGGCGATGTATTGCTATTATGCTATAGTACAGCATTGTAGTCCAGCAATGTATGCGAGTGGGGTATCAATCGACATAAATTAACTGTACTTCCTTCACATGGATAACTTGTGACTTGTGCACAGCGCTAGAAAGCGTGCATAACCCCTGGGCGTATGTACTCTTGGCGATAGTGGTGGAGGCTCACAGTGCGGAGTCTTGTAAGTACGAACATTTCATAGCTTGTTCCCTTTCTCTTGCATTCAGGCCGCTAGATCTGAATTTCTTGATCGACACGTAAAGAAGGTTTTGTTCAGGGCTGATGTCAAGAAAGCGGGAATCCTGTATAATACTGAAACTCAGGGAAATGAGACCACCGATCAAATGGTGACAGCTGATGGCTTTGTTTGTGCAAAGGGTAAGCGTTGACTGTGCTGATGTTCCTATGTTACTATTCCGGCATCAGGATGATGTGCACTATGCATGCTAGGTGAACCTTTCCTAGCAGTTTGCATTTCTTTCACTCTTATGTGCTGTGTGAGTATTGTCTTTCACTTATAGATGGAATGTATGATGTTTGGTGTGTGTTGACCTCCATTTGATAGACTATACAGAGAGGTAGACGTGTGGTCTTGAAACCTTCATGTTTCAAAAACAAATGCTCTGTCAGTTTGCTGTCGGATTGTCAATTGTCCAACAGAATTTTAATCATTGTCAGGTGGTCTTAGTTGTCGTTTTCACGAAGATGATATTTTACTGTTTTGACGCGTTTCAGATCTTGCTGTTTTGTAAGCTCTGAATATGCAGGAGTTGTCCCTGAAATATGCGGGAGTTGTCCCTGAGATATGTGTACAGGAGAGAAATGTTTTGTTTGGTTATGATTTCCAATAGTGTTGCTTTCGATATCCTAGGTAATGTCTTTTAATTCAATTCTCTTGTCAAAGTGTTAGTGTTCCTCATATTGTTATGAACTCTTTAGTAGTCTTTACCTCATTCGTTGTCCATTGATGTGCTTTTTCATTATCCCATTCTCTTGGGTAGATGTAGATGAGTGTCAAATGCCAACATCTTGCCCCATGGGCTTTGCTTGCATCAACACCAAGGGCAGTTATAGATGTAAAGGTATGGTACTGAGCCATGGAGCATTTTCAACATTAGAATTATTTTATTAATGATAATCGGCCATCCGCGGTGGCATCAAGGAGAAAACAGCGAAAAAATGAATCGTTCATCTTGCTCCACGTGTAAGCTACAACTACTTGTACTTATTTTGCCCTGAGGGTTGTTGCTGCATTAACGTACTAGTATCCATTGTCGCCGCAATCCTCTGGCCCATTCTTTTCCATGACTTGTGGCCGGTGGTTAGCATTCCGAGGTGCTGAATGCATTCAACAATCACAACAGCACGTACGCAGACCCACGCACTCATCTCCTCAATATAGAACTCGGAGTTCAGTTCAGTCGCAGACTCCTCAGTCTCAGGTCTCCGTGCAGTCTCAGTCTCTTTGAGCTCGGATTTGAATGACTACTCACAACGTGAAAAAAGCAGTCTTTGTTGAGTGTGTGAGGTTGACCTTAGACCAAGGCAGCAGCTATTAGTTGGCCCCTGGGTAGTGTCGGGTTCGCCATGAAGAAGGCCACACGTCTGTGGTATCTGGACTTCCGAGTCATCGTTTGTTGACTAGCTACGCGGCGCATGCCTGCTGTGGCTTGATACCATCTATTCAGTCATCGTGGCACATTGTGACTTCTGGGTCCGGGCATTGCGACGTTTGCTACTTCTACTGCACTGTATTAGCACCTCTATTCCCAACCGCACAATCTACACGGCGTACGTGTAGTCGCGACACACAATGATATTGCTCATTTAAAATGCAGGACCATAGATCCTTTATGCTTCACGCTGCTCTGTTACCTAATGCTGTACCCAATTGTCTGAAATCCTCTCCATTTATTTCTCAGTTTCAGCGTGTGTTTATGCGCTTATTGGATGATCTGGTTTCTTTTGGCCAATATAGGGCGTGTGAAAGAGGAAGCGGGGTCATAATTATTACGTATTGCAATATATCAAACATACAGGCGTACGTACCGGTGGGTGGCTCAGACTAGACACCAACAGTATGCATGAGCTGTGCAGAACACTATTTGAAGTAGATGGATGAAATACCAACATGGACCCATATATCAGTAGCAGGCATGATCAACACCAACATTTAGGTGACTGCGTGAACTTGAGAAGCCAAGGTCACATTGACCAGGGATGAAATTATCCTGCAGTGCATCGCAGTTTGCGATGCAAAATCGATCTACTGCTACTTAAAAGTCCCCGTGACTTGCAGAAAACTGCGATGCATACAGACTATCCATGCTTGGCCTGCGCTATCAAGTAACATGCATATTGTACAGTGCAATGCACGTGGTGCAGGTTGACCATTACGCTACTTGAACAACTTCAAAGTGATCACACTCACTGTCCGGCCGTCTGTTCAGACAGTGGGATGAGGATCATTCTCATGAGTGACTGCAATTGGGGATTTGATCGGGCACAGGGGAGATGCTAGTGTGAGTTTTGCATCTCCGGACACTTTGTTTCTCCTTCACAGATGGAAAGAAATCGTTCAACCTTTCATGTGGCGGATTCATTGTCAGCTTCCATTCGTATCCACGGGTGAACGCTTCACATGTCTCTAGCAAATGCCAAACAACAGTACGGCCACCTTTAAGGCTGGACCTACTTGAGCACATTTTAAAAGTGAATAAATGCTACCAGGTTAGTTTGAAATGTTTAAAACATTTAATGGTTGATTTACGAACTGGGATGGTGCAAGTACGGCAGTAATTGTAGAAGTAGGTGGCCGCTACAAACGCTGGATTGATGTGGGATCTTCTTTTCTTTCATCTCTATTCGGGGATATGAGAGAGAAGGAGACAACGAGTCACGGTGTGTGTTTATGTGTGTGCGTGCGCATACAGGCTCGTGCGTGGTCGCCGGAGCATGTGTGTATGACTGTATACATGTATGCCACTGAGATTTGTGTACGCGGGTGCATGTGTGTGCGCGTGTGTGTACACACTTTGCCCTGGTAATGACACTGATTGAACTCAGACGCATTGCTGATAGCATGTATTCATACAACCACACTCGGCTGCGATTGCAATTCTCCTTTTCTTCTGCATCCAGGGTGCAAGAACTAAACTTCTTGAGGGACAAGTAAGGAATGTTTGGCTGAAAGGTACTGACATGACCATGGTCAGGTACAATCTTGAAATGCAAGAAGTTGACAGGTCTGTCATTCAGCCCTATCCAACCGCGGATGGCTTTATTTGTGGGAAAGGTAAGCCTTGAAATCCCTGGTCAGGATACGCTCTTGTTCATGTGGGCGACTCAATTGCTGGAAAACATCATGAGAACGAATCCTGGGAGGAGAGGGCAGTGCTTTTGAGACTGAACTCCCGCAACATGAGATATGACATCCCGCATCAGGTGATTTCACTTTACACTCAAGTTTTCAGCATATCATCATGACTCTGCGGCAAGCGGAATGCTGCTGAGCAAATTTGCTAGTGTGCTATCCAGCATTTCTCACTAGCCACGAAATATTGTCTAGTCCTATGCAGGGTTCTAGCCAGGTCAAAATAGTAGGGGGCGGATAGGGGGGGGGGGGGGGAACAGTTACCCCGTAACCCATTTTTCCATTTTCCGAAGTCATCTCGCAATGCAAAATGCAATGTACGGGAGCAAACCCTTGACTTCACCGCAGGCAAGTATGCCTTTATGACCACTCTGTTAGTGACTTTTCGACTGCATCTTTGTTGAATTGCCTGAAAACACAAAATCGACTAATGAGTAGGGGCGTCATACTTTCCCGGGGGAGGGGGCACTCAATTAGAGTGTGGGGGGGGGGGGGTGTGCTGCGCCCCCTACTCTCCTTTGGCTAGAACCCTGCTATGTACTACACATAATAGCTTAATTCACAAGGAGCTAGTCAACTTCCCTGCGCGCTGTCTTATCTTGTTACTAAGCATTGGGGGTCTTATGCATGAAAATGTCCCCACCCTTTAAGGCAAGTATATCCTGGTGCGAGCCAGCATTAAAATCCTCCATTGGATAGCGTGACAAGAGCTCTCCAGTCAATAATTGCTGGGGAAGGAGACTGCAAAGGTTTCAACTTCCGAATCAGGAACAAATTTGCGTTCTACCAGTGTAATAGCTGAGCCGTCAGCTGCCACGGCTGCTGCCACGCCTGCCATGTCCTTCTGCCGGGCGGTACCACACCGGCTTCGACGAGTTTTGAACCTCCCAAATGTAAAGGAAGCTGTTGACATCCTCAAATGAGTATTGGGGGTTAAAAGGATTCCGACGCATATCGTTGAGTCCCTTGATATGACGACAATGCTCTTAGGACGTCTTCCACCCAAAGTAAATTTCTCCACTGTGACATGGGTTGCAGGGTCAGCTTTGATTTGATAGAACTCAACGTCTCTGGTGAGAATTTCCTGGTGCTGGTCGCCATGTATCCTTTCCGTGAGATGGCAACTTGTTCAGTCGTAGACGGTATGCGACCCATGGTGCTTAAAGATCAAGGTAGCGCTTTGTGACGAACTGACGCGGGTGCTATGGTTGGCAGGTGTGGAACTGATGCCAACCGCCAACAGCAGTACGCGGCCAAAGCAGCGAACTCCATGACTTCTTCCTGGTGTTCTTCAATGCTTTGCTCTGATTGCTTCGATCGGCTACCAGCAACCTTGCTCTGGAGTATTAACTAGCCCAAACCTTTCAACTGAAAAAAAAAGCTTACTGTCCTTACTGTCCTCACTGCCCTCACTGTCCTCACTGTCCTTGCTGTCCTCACTGTCCTCGCTGTCCTCACTGTCCTCACTGGCCTCACTGTCCTCACTGTCCTCACTGTCCTCACTGTCCTCACTGTCCTCGCTGTCCTCACTGTCCTCACTGGCCTCACTGTCCTCACTGTCCTCACTGTCCTCTCTGCCCTCACTGTCCTCACTGTCCTCACTGGCCTCACTGTCCTCACTGTCCTCACTGTCCTCACTGTCCTCGCTGTCCTCACTGTCCTCACTGGCCTCACTGTCCTCACTGTCCTCACTGTCCTCACTGTCCTCACTGTCCTCACTGTCCTCACAGTGTCCTCACTGTCCTCACTGTCCTCACTGTCCTCACTGTCCTCACTGGCCTCACTGTCCTCACAGTGTCCTCACTGTCCTCACTGTCCTCACTGTCCTCACTGTCCTCACAGTGTCCTCACTGTCCTCACTGTCCTCACAGTGTCCTCACTGTCCTCACTGTCCTCACAGTGTCCTCACTGTCCTCACTGTCCTCTCTGTCCTCTCTGTCCTCACTGTCCTCACTGTCTGTCCTCACTGTCCTCACTGTCCTCACTGTCCTCTCTGTCCTCACTGTCCTCACTGTCTGTCCTCACTGTCCTCACTGTCCTCTCTGTCCTCACTGTCCTCTCTGCCCTCTCTGCCCTCACTGTCCTCACTGTCCTCACTGTCCTCACTGTCCTCTCTGCCCTCACTGTCCTCTCTGCCCTCACTGTCCTCACTGTCCTCTCTGCCCTCACTGTCCTCACTGTCCTCTCTGCCCTCTCTGCCCTCACTGTCCTCACTGTCCTCACTGTCCTCACTGTCCTCACTGTCCTCACTGTCCTCTCTGTCCTCACTGTCTGTCCTCACTTTCCTCACTGTCCTCACTGTCCTCTCTGCCCTCACTGTCCTCTCTGCCCTCACTGTCCTCCCTGTCCTCACTGTCCTCTCTGCCCTCACCATTGCGCGAAATCACGCGACATCTGTACATTTTCGATCTGCGGGATGAAGATGACGACGTCCATGCATCAGGTATCAGGGGGTAGTAAGATACTGGTATATTACTACTCCACGCCTCAAATCGTGCTGTCAAGCGTATGCGGGGGAGTGTAGCATGCCATCCCTTACACTTTCCAGCTCAGGGTTACCCTCGCTACCAATGGACGAAATTTCAGGGTCACAGCTTGCGCAACGGCTTTGTCCTGTTCGAATGGCCACTCGACATACTCAGCACAAATTTTCTATTGCATGCATGCACAAAATGTTCAACTTTCGTAATTTTGGCGACTTTACCACCGTCGTGGAGGCTGGTTGGCGAGGAGCAGGTAGCCATCCCTTGTAGAATCAAACACATGGTTCCACAGTGTGGCTGATTCCGCAAGAGCCAGGTCCATACGAGGAACATTCGCTTTGTCTTTTGCCATCGAAGTAAGTCACTTTCCTTGTTCTCAGTGTTTTTTTACGTTCAACGTTTCTGAGATTTTTGAATTATTCACTTTTCATTCTTTCATACTTTATTTCTTCATGTTCACTGCCTCACTTGCCTTCTGATCTGGAGAATGTGATGGAGGTGACTGTTGGTTACTGCCTGGTATACGGGTTGTCGTGCTGTTGCTGTATTTCCGTCCTGCTCGCGACGTTGTAGATCACAAACAATTTGAAATCACATGAATTGTACTTACCGTCGTGCGTGCGGTATTAGGAAACGCTGTGCAGATTGGATCGTCGCAATGTATCTATATGTGTGTCTGGTCATCCTGTGCCACGCAAGAACTCCAACCAGACGCATTCGTCCTCGGCCCTGTTGATCGATTGTCCACTCGTCTTTCCTTGAAGAACGATCGATCAAAAAAATCGAGCACGAGGACTTTTTGCAAAAAAATGGCTGAAAAAAGGAAGAAAAAAGGGTGCTCAGAATGAGATTCGAGTACAAAACCATGGTCCCAGCAGTTTATGTGGATGTCGCTCATAGATGCGCGATTTCGCGCAATGTGTCCTCTCTGCCCTCACTGTCCTCACTGTCCTCACTGCCCTCTCTGCCCTCACTGTCCTTACTGTCCTTCTAGTACTACATTCTGCAGTCCGGCTAGCTCAGTGCTCAGTGCTCAGTCGGTAGAGCATGCGACTCTTAATCTCAGGGTTGTGGGTTCGAGCCCCACGTTGGGCACCAATTGTCGTCGGGTTCGAAACTGACGATGGGCTCTTCCGATACTCTCACTCGTACACACAACTAGCATGAACAGTTTCTTGTTCTTGTTGCAAGGAGAGAGTTCAGGAAAAAGCAAAGCACTTCCACACGAGAAATGGCAATACTAAAGATCTGAGGATTGCCTTAGCTTTGCTACGTGCATGAAACGCAGCGTTACAACAATGACCTAGCCGGCTGTCTCTGTTCTCTTCTGCCTTTGTGAGAAATGGTAATATGTACACACGCAGTAGCGCAACCAGCACAGTCTGAGCGTAGTGGTGCACGCAACGGCGAACCCCAAACCCCTAAAAGGGCGCTCAGACCTCGTAGCGGTCAAATGGACAACACATGGACAAACGAAAACCAGGGTTCTAGCCTAGCCCACTCGTATTTCTAGCAAACACAGCAGTTTCGTTCTCATTCCATGGTACAATCTTACATGCATTTATGCAGAGTTATACATGTACGTCTGAGCGTACATTATAGTGTACATAACAGTTTCCGTCCTTATCCGCAAATATCCAGCCTAGACCGTTCTTAGAAATTGGTGAAATTCTAGCCTGGCCGTTCTTCGGCTCTCCATTCTTTGGCGCCCAACAATACTGTAATGTAGCATTGCTTCCACGGGCCCGGGAATGCTCTTGCTTTACAGATACCGATGAATGTACGAGTGGAACGTATCGTTGTCGTCGCAACTCTGTGTGTAAAAACTCCAATGGCTCCTACACGTGTCCTTGTAAACCTGGGTACAAAGAAACTGGTGCATTCTGCTCAGGTAAGATATTATCACAACTGCTGCGAATATTTTCACGAATCTACAGCTTTTAAAAAGCCATACCACATAGCCATACTCCGGAGTCAGAAGGAGACGATAGTCCACACACGTCATGCCCATTCCCACTTCTCACAAACAACACTCAGGGCAAGTTGCGGCGACAGTGGTGCTGTCTGATGATTGCTAACGTGTGACCTCCAACCCCCCCCCCCCCCCCCCCGGTTATTTTATTATTTAGACCAAAGAGCTCGCAACTCCAGTGTCCGGATGACTGAGGTGTGAGTGTACTTATGTCAGTCCAGTCAACCTGTAGCAACTCAAATACTCGGTCAATCAATTTCTAATGATTTTAATTGAAACAAATACGGCGATAATTTGTGAATTTAAACTCGGATACTGAGCCAGTAATTTTTTCTTCTCTTTTTTGCAATTCGCAAATTGCTGGACTATATCGGCACACGTATTATTCTTTCGGCCCTAGTATTCAGTCATGATTTGAAAAAATATTGTTTTCACTTCAGATGCAACTATGGCAGGTCCTGCTGTGACCGTAAACCCTGCCATTGTGATACCAAGCACAAGTCAAACAGAGAACTCAACCATACCTGAGGTCATGGAAGGGACAATGACATCATACCCAGGGAGCAATGACATACCTAGTATCACTGAGAGTACTCTAACTGGTCCGAATATGGCAACTGTGTCAACACGCTATGAACCAGCATGGTCTGGCACCAGCCTGAGAATGACAACAGCTGCAGGGAAAACAAACACACCTGGCATAAATACGACAACAGTACCAGCTCCTGATCCTGCAAAGCAGCCTGGCGTGTCTGGCACGCGTATGAGAACGACAACAGCAGCAGCAGAGCAGACGCATGTGGCTAGTGTGGATGTCACAACAGCACCAGGTTCGCAAAACCCACAGGAGCCTGGAACGACAACAGCTACAGGACAAACACATGTGCCTGGCGTGGATTTCACAGCAGCACCAGGTTCGCAAAGCCCACTGGAGCCTGGAACGACAACAGCTGCAGGGCAAACAGATATGCCTGGTGTGGATTTCACAACAGTACCAGTTTCCCGACACCCAAAGAAGACTGCAGCGACAACAGTTGCAAGACAAACGTATATGCCTGGCGCGGATTTCACGACAGCACCAGGTTCGCAAAACCCACAGGAGCCTGGAACGACAACAACTGCAGAGCAAAGGCATGTGCCTGGTGTGGATTTCACAACAGTACCAGTTTCCCGACACCCAAAGAAGACTGCAGCGACAACAGTTGCAGGACAAACGTATACGCCTGGCGCGGATTTCACGACAGCTCCAGGTTCGCAAAGCTCACAGGAGCCTGGAACGACAACAACTGCAGAGCAAACGCATGTGCCTGGTGTGGATTTCACAACAGTACCGGTTTTTCGACACCCAGAGAAGACTGGAACGACAACAGCTACAGGGCCAACACATGTGCCTAGTGTGGATGTCACAACAGCACCAGGTTCGCAAAGCCCACAGGAGCCTGGATCGACAACAGCTGCAGGGCAAACACATGTGCCTGGTATGGATTTCACAACAGCACCAGGTTCACAAAACCCACAGGAGCCTGGAACGACAACAGCTACAGGGCAAACACATGTGCCTGGTGTGGATTTCACAACAGCACCAGGTTCGCAAAACCCACAGGAGCCTGGAACGACAACAGCTACAGGGCAAACACATGTGCCTGGTGTGGACTTCACAACAGCACCAGGTTCGCAAAACCCACAGGAGCCTGGAACGACAACAGCTACAGGGCAAACACATGTGCCTGGTGTGGATTTCACAACAGCACCAGGTTCGCAAAACCCACAGGAGCCTGGAACGACAACAGCTACAGGGCAAACACATGTGCCTGGTGTGGATTTCACAACAGCACCAGTCCCACCACACCCACAGGACCCCAGGGTGCCTGGAAAAGGTATGCAAGTGGTTGTGCTGCACATGTACTTCTAGTTCACATCCTTCCAGCCTGTGCAGGTATGATTGCTCTGTACATGGCAACAAAGTTGTGGTTCAGAACATTTTCTTTTCACAATTACAGGTGGAATCCTGATAATTCGAATATGGCTTAATTCGAACATACCGCTTAATTGGAAGTTTTTCCAGGACCGATTTCTATCAATACGATTCCCACATAAAAAATTCTGATAATTCGAACTTTGAACTCGACATGTACGGTTAATTAGAAGTCCCACAGTTTCCACTTACATAGAAAATGTGTGGGATTTGTGCTGATAATTCGAAGTTAGCAAAGTGTAATTCGAAGTTCACTGTACACTGTACTGGTCAATTCAGTTTGCACGAGCAGGCTGTGCCGGTCAGTTCAGTGTCCGTAAAATTTGTGTCTAAGGTCCATAGCGCAACTCTGCGTGACCGTGAGCGCATTTTGACATACATATTGTGTTGTGGGTTCATGTTTGGATAATTAGAATGTCCGGATAATTATAAGTTTTTTCCTGGCATTTTGAGGTTCGAATTATCAGGATTTCACCTGTATTATCAGTGGCAACACGTGACTAGTGGGAATAGGAAACAGCAATACGATGTATACACTTGAAGTAATTAAATATAATATTGCGACAGACCATACTCCAATTTACTACGTTCTCAACCCGTCACCACCATGCCACGCTCTCAGCCGAACCAATGCACGAAGCATAAACACGCCAGCACAGCACAGCCGTTGACAGATAATCGTTATGCCTCTAGACAGCTGTTACGCTCCTTTGAGCTCATCAGTATAGGGCGATTATGATGATAACGGAATGTAAAGGAATGATCATTCATTCTACAGCAGAAATGGCACAAGTGCGCACTTTCCACATGGAACATTGGCATATGCCAGCTGCTAAATGTGAGAGTGTGTGAAGAGCTATTGTACGCGCTCGTTGATGGAGGAACTCGTCATACAGGCGACGTAAACCTTACGTGGAAATGACACTACAACTGATTGCAATAAAACGAGAATAATGATGCCACTAGAAACTGAGTATGTTGTAGGTAGTGAGATGATGTTGCATTGTCCGGTGTGTGCAGGCGAGGCGAGACTCACCGCCGAGATCTGCTAATGCGACAGGCTCGGTTGCCGTTCAGGATTCACACCGCCCTGTCAGTTCAGTTGTACAGTAATCAGGTGTAGTGTTATTGCTGTGTAAGATTTACGTCGCCTGTATGGTGCGTTTCTCCACCAATGAGCGCGTACAATAGCTCTTCACACTATTCTCATATGTGGCAGCTTGCATATGCCAATGTTCTATGTGGAAAGCGTGCACACTTGCGTCACTCCTGATGTATAAGAATGATCATTCCCTTACACTCCATTATCATCATTATCACCCTCTACTGATGAGCTCAAAGGAGCAAAACAGCTGTCTAGAGGCGTAAAAAAACTATCTGTCAACGGAAGTGTCCTTGCTGTGCTGGTGTGTTCATGCTTCATGCATTGGCTCGGCAGAGAGCGCATGGTGGTGATGGGCTGAGAATGTACACTTGGAGTAGAAATAACAAATGTGCAAGATAGCAAGCATGGCACTTAGCCAATAACAGGCAGGCATAGTGATATAGTTCTCTCTCTCTCTCTCTCTCTCTCTCTCTCTCTCTCTCTCTCTCTCTCTCTCTCTCTCTCTCTCTCTCTCTCTCTCTCTCTCTCTCTCTCTCTCTCTCTCTCTGCTATTGGCACGCCTGGTTGTGATGAAGCCGCGACCCAAGGTCGGCAGAGCATCCCAGACCACGCCACCACTCCCCTTATTCATGGCTCACACATGACGGGTTTATGTGGCTCTAGTAAAAAATAAAAATAAAAAGGTTCAAGTTCTGCGTACAGTCTACAATGGCTGACCGTGGCATCCTAAAATGCATGTTTGTACCACTGACAACTGTACAAAGCTGTCCCGTGAATACAGTTATACTGTTAGCCCGGCAGGCTGTCTGGACCATTGCATCACCGATAGTCCGAGAGGATTTTGAAGTAATATTTTATATCTCTGTGTCACTTTCCTTATCCAACAGCGCTCCCCGGTCAAGGAACAGTGCAAGCCACCATGATATCAGGAGTCTTGCCAGACTGGTCCAACAGTAGTGTGACAGCGAATACGTCTACGGTCACCAACACAACAACAACAGAAAAAGGAGCAACAAAAACAACAGCAACACCCCTTCCGCTAATTCTCAACAGCGTGGGAAGCGTATCGTTGTCAGGCATGACCCTTTGGGTTGGCCTGGGCAGCGGCGCAGTGCTTGTAATCATGATCATCTTTGGTATCCTGATATACATGCGATCAAAGCGTCCTGCAAAATGTAAGTTTCTTTTTCAATCGCTCAACCGCTGACTCTTACCAGTCCATGTACAATGTATGTGTTTCACTCACGACTGAGCAAGGAGCCACCTAACAAACAAAGTTCACAACGGCTACCAGCACGGTGTGTAGTCTACATCAACAGTAGAAGAATGCACGCAACGCTGCAGACAGCTAACTCTAAAATTAATGAGCCTGGAAGTCTCATGTGTTTATCTGTGGAAGTGGTGTGTGTGTGTGTGTGTGTGTGCACGTGTGTGTGTGTGTGCACATGTGTGTGTGTGTGTGCACGTGTGTGTGTGCGTGCGTGTGTGTGTGCGTGGCAAAGGACATGGCACTTGTTGATCTGGTTTTCCTGCTGCTCATGCTGATGATGGTACTGACAGTGATTCCTCTGTTGTTGTTGTTGTGTGGCGGTGTCGTCGTCGTTACCCTGCCTTTGTCTTCTATGTTGCTGTTTTACACATTACGTGCAAGCAGCTACTATGGCCGCCGGCGACCATGCAACTGTAAATCACATTGAGACATGTGCGTCGCAGGGATACGAACGTTTAGGCTCACAAAGCCCTCGCCAGACACAGCCAGACAAAGGCGCCACCGAACCTCACTACGTCAAAGATGATCAATACGTTCGCTTAGAGGGTGATACCACCGCAGAAAGTGGCAACAGTCAAAGGCAGCAAGGCAACACCATTGTGCAGTATGCACAGCCGAATCTTTCCTCCCAACAGCCTCCGGATGTTCCCGCCACACCATCGCGCCATGAGAGAAGGTCAACTGCGCGGAAGCTCACGCGACACTCATCCCGACTGTCCGATAACTTCACTGACAAGAAACGCGCCAACACCTCCGCCGCACTGACAACGTTCAGCATGAGCCCGTGCGCCAGCAATGGCTACGTTCTTGAGGACAGCGTTAGTACGTGCACAGCGCTTGTAGGCAGCGAGCACTCCATGGACAGTTTGCCCGTTGCTTACGCTATTCTGCAGCCAGAGAGTGAATGCACACCTGCAGATGCTACTGCGGTTACTAGTCATGTGATGAACGGGGGAATCCCCCCTGGACATATGGATATGCACCATAGTACGGCTGATACATGTGGTAACCGTGACAATGAGGAGATCATCTATGCCAAAGCTGACCAGTCTAATCTTACCCGCTCTGTCTCGGTAACAGATTCTGCTCCGAGCGACGTACTAGCGGCGATGGATGCAGATCGTGGTGGTTACGAGAGGCCCATGGATAGCGGTATTGCAAGCGTCATTGCCATCATGAACGAAAACTGCTACACTGTTGGCAGCTTTTTGGATGATCTGAGCACCAACACGCCGAGCCCTGGAACAGCATCAAGCACTACGGGAAACGAATACAACGCCTTCTGCGGCGAGTCGCCTTTGAAGAAGCGGGGTCTGTCCAAGATGGCTACTTGCATTCGCCGCCCGACATCGCTTCTCCCCACTCCCGGCAACCTCAATACAGACAGCAGTTATAGCGAGATTAACATGGATAACATGCAGCCGAGAATGCCGTCCGCCTCTCGACTAGTACCGGGTACACGTCATCGCATTAGTACTTTGGGGAGCGATGGCAACAAGCTTGCCGTGCTGAACAGACCGGGAAGCGAAAACCGGTATCAATGCCTTGAACCTATGCACTAGAGTCTATGGAATCGGACGGACCTGGCGTGCCTACGCGGTATCTCATCCGTACATACATGACATGCACATACTATGAATACAGCACGGGTGATAAGGCGCACGGTCTCCTTGAGCAGGGCTTGAGACAACGCTGTCAGTCGTCATGCGCCATTATTCCCCGCCGCACTCCGCAAAGCAACGCTTTGGCTTTTGGTTTTCATATGGCCGTTCTAAAGGGGAGGAATAGTGCTGCTAGCAATACTATACTGAGTGTGAGAACGTTATGTAGATAGGACAATTTTAATTATGTTTTATTTATTTTCCCCCAGCTCCACTAGCAAGGATCAAATATCCAGCCTGTGTTCTATTTTATCAACTGCTATTGCATGGTCTTCCGCTACACAACGAAGCTGCGCTTCTTCTTTCAATTGCCTCCTTTCAGCAATGGACCTTCACAAGTAATTCCAATTTGCACGGAGCACTGACCCATGCCATTTCTGGCCAAAGTACTTTTCAAGTATAAACACACCCTGAACTCCCATGCATTACGAAAATGCACTCTATTCCAGCTGCTGCCCCGGCTGGCCCTCACTCTACTTCTCCAGTATATAGCACCTACTCAAAGCACCAACCCTACGAGCCTGGGCACCCCCCCCCCCCCCCCCCCGTATACAGTACACAAAATGTAGCTTAGGCCTACTTTAAGCCCCCACATCAACCACCATTTAAACCTGGATATAAATACTGTGTTTTAGTACACAGCAAGCCTACGGATATTTTTCAGTTGTGAGAATATTTGAAGCGATTTTGCTTGATTTCACTCTGACGGTCTTTAAGCGTTTTTTTCTATAATATATGATTAATCTGCCTATCACTCAGTAGTAGTTAGCGGTTAGCATTGCACTAGCAACAACCTACGACGATCTAATGGTGCATGGCTGGATATTGCTGGGTCTTAGGGAGTTTGACTTATGTCAGACAGCATGGCCAAACCCCACCACTGGCATGAGGATAGTAGGGAGAGAGAGAGAGAGAGAGAGAGAGAGAGAGAGAGAGAGAGAGAGAGAGAGAGAGAGAGAGAGAGAGAGAGAGAGAGAGAGAGAGAGAGAGAGGGAGGGAGGGAGGGAGGGCGGGAGGGCGGGAGGGAGAGGGAGAGGGAGAGGGAGAGGAAGAGAGAGAGGGAGACGGAGAGACGGAGAGAGAGAGAGAAACGAGGATCCACTGTACGTACATGTAAAGTCGACCAGCACTCAAGACGTGCAGCCATCACCTTGTAATGTGTTGAAAGTTAGGAAATGCTGACACTTGCAGCTTGATACACGTTTGTACATAATCCAACAAGGAGAGTGAGGAATGCAGGTGCAAAACAAAACATATACTTTGAAGTTGGATTTAAATAATCAACGTGGACACCGTTACTACATTGTAGTACTTAACTATATGAGCCAGCGCACGCGAAAAGGGCCCTTATGGGATGCACGTGCGAACTGAGAAAATCGCGTTTGAAGTGCAGTGGGTCAAATTTACCGTAGGATTTTGACAGGCCACCGTGATCGATTCTGCACTATTTCCACGGTTTGACTGATGAAATAGGTGTTATTCCAAAATGATCTTGGGGTTTCCAGCTTTCATTTGCAAGTTACCGCGATGAAATTGAGCTACGGAAGCCAAAGTTTCAGCGATTTTGATTTCGTGGGTTGTTCGCACGCGCGCGCGTGGGCAGCTAGCTGCTGGCACGGCAAAGTACATGTACTTCTTTCTTGTTGCGCTTCACTTGCCGTTCCCTTCTCTAGCTTTTCTTGCACTAGCTGGATCAGTGGATGCTCGAGTTGAACATGAGCCGGAGAACCTGCTTCACTGTTGATGCTGCGCTGGATCTTCTTCTCAGAGAAGATGAAGCTGAGTTTTATGGCGATGACGAGTGTGCGAGTGATGGCGCAGGGAGCGAATGTGAAGATAGTTCTGACAGCAGCGATGACGAACGAGAACATTTCCTTGCTGCGACAATCGACACAGCCAGTGCAGCAATGGACTTCATGTCTTTGGACAGCTCGCACGCCGCTCCACAGGCAACTTCTAGTAGCAGTAGCCCCTCTGAAGCCATGCAGACTGGTGAAGCGGCTGAACACAATCGCAATTATTCGTGTGGATGCAGCCTGAATTGTTTTAGGAAGTTTGACGAGGCAGATGTTGAAGTGAATGTGCTGAACATGAAGGAGCTCGAGCGACCTGAGAGTGACCTGATTATACTGGGACTGCTCGAGTCAGGTCGACACGAAACTGCTTTGTCCCACAAGCCAGGAGAGAAGAGACAGCGACAGCGCTTTCGCTATTCGTTCCAGGGAGTGGAAATTTGTGTTGCTGCATTCAGGACTTTGTACGACATCAGTGAGAAGCGGCTAAAGAACTTGAGAAAGCACCTCCATGAGCATGGTGTCACAGCAAGAGTACATGGTAACCGTGGGCGAAGGCCGCCCAATGCACTGGAATTTGCTGATGTCAAGAATTGCCTTGACTTCATCAAGCGACACGCTGATGTCTATGGTATCCCATACCCAGCCCCTCTCCGCGGCGTGATGATGTACCTCCTGTTTTCTTGCCAGCTCACCAGACATACAAAGAAGTCCATGCAGAATTTGTGGCACTGTGTAAGTCAGAGGGATGGAGAGCTATAGCGGAGTCTACTTTCCGCAGCATTTGGCATCAGTGTCTACCACACATCCGCTTCATGACGCCGCGAATGGATGTTTGTGCAGTTTGTGAGGACCTCCGGCGCAAAGTTGTTTCTGCTGCGGCTGAAGCCGATAAACTGACCGCCTGTCGCAATTTGGAAGAGCACATAACGGTGACAGTGATGCTGTGGCTGTACCTATCTTGAAAGTGACTGCTGAGGAGGTAAAGGCTGCTGGTATTCCCGCAACTCTGCCTGCTGGTGGCTTGTCGCAAGCACGCCAGGAGTATTTGCACAAGGAGATACGGCCGTTTATTGCTGTGGAGCATCAAGACACTCTCTGCCCTGCCCCCGCTGCTTCTAGTCAGCTCTCGCCTTGAAACTGAGAAGAGAGTGCATATGAACCCGGTCACCTGGTGCTTGGGGAACAATGTTTGTTGCTGTTACTGTAACTTCCGTTGCAACTATTTGCCGCAAGCCACATTCTGGGTCCGCTTCTTGCGTAGTACTCCATGGTGGATGACTCCCTAGTTACTGTGTACATAACAAAGATTTCAACAGGTTGTTTTTCAATTTTGTCTTTTGACTGTAACTGTGTACAAATGCTGTACTTCGGCTGAGATATTCTCCATGGCTATTGCAACCAGTCTACTCTGGCTGAATGTCTAGGAATTTCTTACCTCCCTTATCTACATGTCCGCATTTTCCGTAAAAAACGAGCCCACGGCAGGAGCCGTAACTTTGATTAGAGTTGGCCAAATTGAGTCAAATTTTTTTTATTCGATTTCTACAATCACTGGCTACCTGAAAATGCCATCAGCTGAATTTTGTTGAAAATCACCATAAGGGCCCTTTTCGCGTGCTCTGGCTCATATATACTTGTATGGAGAGTCTTCATCGCTATACTGAAGTTGGATTCCTAATACATCCATACATCATGTGCTACACACCACTTGCAAATGTCCAAACATACCCGTACAATGTATATTCTGGCATGTGCAAATACACGTACGTACGCACGACCATGTGTTAGAGAGAAGTTTCAAAATAAGTTTTAAATAGGAAAGGGAAAAATCACTGTGCACTTTTTCGTTGCAATATCACTGTGTACTCCCAGGAGCAGACCTGGCAATGTGATGTGCAACATAGACACACTGGGATGCGAAGAATGCAGAAAGCGTAGCTACTCCGTGCCAGCAGAGCACTGCTGCGTCAAACTGAGATTTGCTGTAGCATCAAGCCATCAGGTGGTGACACACAGTTGTGTCATAGTTTAGAGCCACACCAACTAAATGAATAGTCACAACCCATTGAAAATACTTCAAAGTAGGAAATAAAACTTTACACGGAGGCTTCAGAAAACCTGCTCATCTAAGAATGGTCGTTCCATTCATTGGTACATGTACTTGTAGTAGAAATGAGCCTAGGACAAATCAAGGTGAAAACAATATACCACGTCCATACTTGCAAACTGCACACCCATGCACACACACACACACACACACACACACACACACACACACACACACACACACACACAGACGTGCACACACAGACGTGCACACCCACACACCCACACCCACACGTGCATACACACACACGCACACGCACACACACGTGCACACGTGCATACACACACAAACACACACACAAACACACACACACACACACACAGGCATCATCGTAGCTCTACGCACTGGCTTGAAACTCACGAGCTGCCGATTCCTCCAACCGCTGGTATCTTTCTACCAAGGAATCATAGACAGCAGTAGCGTTAGGGTCTGGCGAGGCCACAAGGTTCAGACTTGGCGGATCTCCAAGGGCATCAGCAAAGCAAAGCGACTCGTTCGCCTTACGCTTATAGCCGTGTAGTGCACGGTAGGCTGCACCAAGGCACGCTGACTCGGACACATCCAGTGTGTAGACCGGTGCATTGAACACGTTAGACAGTACCTTCAAGCACACATTTACAACAGTAGAGAAAAGTACACTAGTGGCAACACCAGATACATGTACATGTACATGGGCTATGCGCAGACAATGCCCCGTTGCCGTATCAACCTTGACTAGGATAAAGTAACAGCCCTACTAAAATAATCGATCATCATCAGCATGCTGTTTCTTCCCAAAGTGGTGTGGAAAGCACAATGCCACCACAGAAACGTTCCTGCCCAGAAGACCACTGAAAACCAGGACCAAGGGATTCTATTTCCAGTCAAATGACCCTGGATAGGGAGACACCACCTGGTAACAGAGACCACATCTTGAAGGTCCCTTAAGCGGTCGTCTTAGACAGGTTTCACTGTACTGAGTGTACTCCAATTAGACACACAATGGAAGGGACAGCCGAAGCGTCATGACACGTGTAGTCTTACCTGCAGGACAGCTTGGTTCACTGATGCTCCACCTGTTGCCAGAACGCGGCGCTCAGCTCCAAAGCTATAGCCCAGACTCTTGGCGTGTATGCGCTTAGCCAGAAACTGGCCCTCGACTAGTGCTCGCACCTCAGCGGCCTTGTCAAACGCCTCGTGGACAGGACTGTCATTGGCATCTACACGCTTGATGCAATGAGCAAGAGGTACAATCTCTTCACACAGAAAGTACACACCGAGCTTTCCGCCATTGCCCGGCGCTGTGGCAAGAAGGTGATCAGTGAACTCTGACTGCCATCTCGAAGCAATGACATCAGCTGGATACTTTTCCAATTCACCGTTGAGCTGCACGCGATCGTCGCGGATCAGCTCACGAGTCCTGCTGCCGTTTCGATAGCACAGCATTCCCATGTAGGCGTCGGCATCGACCGGATTGACGAACACGTGTCCGCGCAAACCCGGCTTGGCTTCGTCCATCCACAGGAACACAGTGTCACTGGATCCCAGGCTCACAGCCACATCGCCACGGCGAATTCGCAAGCCGGCCAATGACGACGGGTTATCCCCGGTGCAGGGGAACACTTGGCAGCCCGGCGAGAACGCATACCGTTGAACAAAGTAGCTGGAAATGTTGCCGACCGGCACATAGGAAGCCGTTGACATGCCAAGCTTCTGTTCTAAGTCCTTGCCGCAGTATTGCAGCGCTTCGGAGAACCAGCGACGTGTGTGAATGTTGAGAAGGTTCATGCCAGATCCGTCGCTATAGTCAATAGGTGCATAGGCTCCAAAGATCAGCGAACACAGGAAGCTGCTTACCAAGCATACTCGGTCGCAGTCACCATACGCATCCTGCTCGGTCTGTGAAATCTTCGCAATTTGTGAGCCGGTGAATCGAGGATAGGCGCGTGAACCTGTGGCCAAGGCAAGGGTCTCAGCACCGCCCACAGCTTCTTCAAGGCCTCTGCACTGTGCCTTTGTACTGCTATCCATCCAGATGGGTGAGTTGGCCACAGCGAATGCATCAGCAGCCGACAGCTGCTCGCAGAGTGCTTTCTCCGGATTGAGAGCGGCAAGTAGGGCTTGGCCACCCGTGCGGAAATACACGCTGCCGTGCTGTTGCCCTGAACCAGATACTGCCACGATGTTAGAGATACTGAACACATCACTTTGGGACAGTTTCATACGCTCCAGAAGGATATCCAAGGCTTCCACCCACATCAGCGTGGGTGATGTGAATCTTTGTCCATCAGAATGCTCATGATATCCTTCCTTCACATGATACTTCTCCGCCAACACGGGATGATTCTCGAAGCTAACGGAATCCTGGTAGACAATCTGCTGTTGACCATCAATGACGATCACTTTCAGCTGCTGAGTGCTCAAGTCTAATCCCATGAAACAAGGATTACATGCTGATGATGGAGATGACATGACTATTAATTTGTACTGTGTCAGGGATCACTAATCGTCTCTCTTTCATCCGAGAAGGAATGAACACAGCCAACTACGTGTTATAGTGGCTTCTCCACTTTAAAGTCGTGCAGGGGAAATGATACCGGTATGCCTTTCTCGCAGTTTGTGCAGACAGTATGATTACCTTCGGAAATCGAAACAGCACGGCCTTGACAGAATATTTCAAAATACTTTAATACTTTGTTGAGTGTTGCACGTTGATCAGTCGATCACTGCACTAGCGCTGAGCGCACTGCACGCACGTGCACGTGCACGTTCGACGTCGTCAAAATATTAAAAAACCGTCAATTTTTTTTTGCACTGCATGCGTATGCCATATCATATTATAGCAATAAAAACTGCTTTATGGCAGTTTTCTAAGGGCATGTTCGATTGGTAAGGATCGGGATCGGGATCCAGATCTCAGATCCGTCGGATCCTGCAGAGTCCACTGGACACTTTTTTGGGCCTTGACTGTTGCCATGTTGACGAAAGTAATAAAAAGTCGTACTCACCGCGCCAGTTGTACAAAAAGTCAGCAAGGTCTATCTCGATCCACGTGTGCGTACCACAATGTGTACAAAAACGATTTTTACCCGCCATATACGCACAAAGGTCACATTTGGATCCGTTGGATCCGGTCAACCCTGCTCCCCGAGGTGGGTTGACCGGATCCAAATCCGAAGGATCCGGATCCAGATTCGACCAATCGAAAGGGTGCGAATCCAGTGGATCCGGTGGATCGGGATCCCGATCCTACCAAATGCAATCGAACATGCCCTAAAAAAAAGTTATTGTGTTCTAGTCCATGGACCCCGTCTAAAAAGTAAGAAATTAACGAAATGTGATAGCCGAAAATTAAAATTTCACACAAAACCTCACAATAATCACGACACTTGAAGATCTAATAGTACGGCTTTCAACACTTGTTTATTCCGACACTTGTACTTGTACACGAACATGTACATGTACATGTACTGCGCCAACATGCTTGCATATGAAAGAGGACCACGAGGGGAAAAGGTCGTCTCGCATCCTGTGTGTGATTATTGTGAGGTTTTGTGTGAAATTTTAATTTTCGGCTATCACATTTCGTTAATTTCTTACTTTTTAGACGGGGTCCATGGACTAGAACACAATAACTTTTTTTTAGAAAACTGCCATAAAGCAGTTTTTATTGCTATAATTTCTTTTGTTTTTTTGGCTAAAGGATATTATTATTATTATTTTATTTATTTTACTAGGGTGTTTCCCACAGACCTATGGTCTTCTTACGGGAGCCCCTAGAAAGGTTAAGGTGGCAGTCTGGGTTCGCGGCCCGACCGCATGAACACAGCCGTAACTTCCATAATAATTGATGAATTTTGCTCAAATCTTGACCACATACCCAGTGTATTTCACTAAGTCCAATGAAGTATAAATCAAGCTCACACATGGGAATCCGCAGACACAATAGTCAAATCTGCGATTATGCCGTACCACCAATACCTTAGACGCAATATGCAAACGCAGAAAGAAGCTGGGTAGAAACTGAGTGCTCCACAGGATTTCCTTCACATATACCTAGGTGCTAAGTGGAGCGGAATTTTGAAATCATATTCAGAACAAAGTACTCAAGCTGTCAAACAAAAATCATGCAATCGCGCAAAATTTAGGTCCTCGATCAGTAGCACTTTACTCAAAGCTACTAGACAAATATAAAAATCCATGACACTTAGCACCTTGATAAATGCTCACAGTTTCCAAAAATGTATGGTTTATGGGGTCTGTGACTTACAGGTTCTTCGCTACGCTGTCTAAGAGGTACGGGACTCAGTGGAAAATGGAGAAAAAAAGTGCTCTGTGCAAGTACAGATGGAGGTATGTCTGTCCAACTAGAACTTACTAGAACTTAGTCGAAGCCACCAGCTTCATATGTCAAACCTTCTTCCTCTTGCTGCTCATCCTGGATGCCTTTCCTGATCCTCCTTCGCTTCTTTCGTGACCTCTTCCCTTCTTCTGACTTCTTTCTGGCAGCATGTGCCTGTCTCTCACGGTCTAGCAGCTTGATGAGACGTGTCGTATGGTGTCCAGTAGGGAGGCCCATCTCGTCCAGAACGCGTTTCACTGCCACACCTCCATCATTGAACCAGGCCACGGCCAGGTAGACGCACATCTGGACAGTGGGAGCGGATGCAAAGCCTGTCTTTGGACACAACTGCCACACGAGTCCATTGAACGCTTCGTTGCGATTCTGCGTAGCACCCTTCTGGCAGCGCTCGAGCAAACTCCGGTCGGACAACCGAATGTAGACCGGCTTCAGTTCCTTCCATACTGCCTCTGGCAGGATATTGTGGTGGGCGTAGACATCACCACCTGCCTGTTGCTGCTGCCATCTACACCAGCTGTTAATTCCAGGCGGACAATACTGGTGCTGAGGTTTACTGTCGCTGGATGCACGATGCATGAGGGATGCCCATATGGCCCTGGCCATGGCTTGCAAGTCTCCGCTGTTGTTCCGCACAGCCATGCCATAGTAGGCTTGCAGCTTGTCGATCATGGCATCCGTGAGGCGACCACGTCCGCCTATAGTGCGCCCATCAGCACTCTTCTTGCCCGCAAGGTTTTTCTTCAGCTTTCTTAGGCTGGTACCGATGCGTTTTTGAACGTGGCCGACACATTCCTCCTTGACTACAGGCACCTCGGGCCCATACGGACAAGCGTCACGCACAGCCTTAAAACTCTTGGTATCTCCATCACCAATGTAGGTGGTGTACCTCAGCTTGCGGCTCTCAAAGGACCTGGCCCACAGAGTCTTGGCGGCTGCACTCTCCATGGCAGGAGCTGATACAGTGGTGTTGACTGAGCAATCGTGTTCGGCAATCTGTCGATCATAGTCATCTTTGGTTAGCTCTCCCTTCTCTTTTCTAGACGCCAAGTGCGTGCACTTGTGGCAAAACTTTGAAAGCACTTCGCAGTCCACCACTTTGCCGACATCATATGCAATTATAGTGAAGGCTCCGAAGAGCGATGCGAATCCTCGGCGCATCCAGGTACCGTCATAGGAAGCAGCGATATCGCTACCCCCATCTGCTGCGGACACTGCTTTCTCAGCTGCCTCAGTCATGCTACGCTCAGCGACGCTCTTGGACGCGGAATGCAGGCCTTTAGCATGGCTGTAAAATGTCGACCGACTCATAGGTGATGGCATATTCAGTGCACCCGCCAGCTTTACCATTGATTGACGTCCACGGCCAATCAGTCGCATTCCGAATACTGCTCGTCTGTTCACCTCCCAGACCCGATTGAACTTCTTGGACATAAATTCGCTTGCTATGTCGCCGCAGTTAACACAGGAAAGCTCCAGGCATGATGCAAGGCCTCCCCGTTGCGATTCGCTGATCGTGACTGCGCCATTACAGCCACTGCAACAAACTGCAGCTGACAAAAGCTGCTGAAGGCACTCGAGATCAATCAGGCGAAATCCATGCGCCCCTTCCTCACACTCTTCATCCAAGTCACTGTCGGAGGAACTGCTGTCGACTTCACCGCCACTTCCATCACTATCGCTGTTTGAAGACGTGGCTTCAGCTGACACTTCAAGGTCGTCATCAGACAGTGGCAAGTCAGGAATTTGTTTTGCAGGCGAAATTTCACCAGAGGGAGCCTTCGGCGCCTGAGACACTCCATAGAACGTTCTTTTCCTTTTCTTAGATCGTCCGGGCTTTCCCTTGGCTCTAGACTTCCCCATAGTAGCCAACGAAGGGGTTAGCTCCAAGAAACAATTACTCCAAAACAATTACTCCAAAAGTAACTAGTTTCAACAGCAGAGCGATCAGCTGAGATCATGAGAGTCGAAATTTGAATTTTTTTGAATTTGCGCATGCGCAAAAGTTATCTTGGTTGCCATGGTGACAAAGATCGTGCGCGGCTGTCAGTCTGCAGCGCAGAGGAGTACCAGGAGTCGCTCCAGAAAATTTTAATGAAATCGCTCAAAGATTGACGGTAAAAATCGGAATAGTGTGCAAACCTAAATTTTGTAGAAATTTGCTGATATTTCAGTATTTCAAAAACAATTGTGCAGACTTTGCGCGGCTATATCTCCGGAAGGAAGCACCCGATTACGCTCAAATTTTCAGGATAAACCCTTTGGACCATACACAAGACGCTGCCAGTGAAAAAATACAGAAAATCGAAACTTTGTTTTTTGACCCTCTGAACCCAGACTGCCACCTTAAGCATGAACGAACAAATGGCCGATAAGCACGAACAGTGGAAGGCAGCATATTCCACCGATCAGAACCTATAATTGTGTCACCAATGGAATGCCCTAAAATTAATGATGGCCAACATGTAGCGCCTCTACATTATTATTATTATTTATTGCAACATCTCAAGACTCGGCGGAAACACCGGCCAATATTACGAGAGTGGGTGATTGCCAACCACGGCGATAAATAGAAAGAAGGGGAGGGAAAAAGAAAGAGTAGCAAAACGAACAGCAACCACAATTTCGTAAAGAAAGATAATGTCAAATAAAAACAGTGAAAAACACAGAGACGCAAAGGACATGTGGATAATGAGCTATGCATGTCGTAGTAAATAAGGGGCGGCACGGATCTTAAACAGGCGGAGTGAGGTCAGGTCCTTAACTTCTCTGGGTAGAGTGAGCCAAACAGAATAAGCAATAAAGAGAGGGGAGCGCAAAAGAGTGGATGAGTTACACTTAGGGAGTAAGAGTGAGTTTCTAGTTCTTAGAGAAGAGAACCAATTAAAACACATGAGATGAGGTGGGCACAACTCAAGCTTAATGATAGCTTGCATGCCGTCCTACCGGTAGGACCACGGGTCCTACCGGTAGGACTCAAGAAATCGCGCTGCAAAAGTGCTTTTGGTTGAGAAATTTCTTGAAACAATTGTTGAGATGAGGTCTTTGTCAGGCAAAGTAATGGCGCAAAATGCAAGGCTATGTCCAGTGCATTGCATACGCGCAATTTTATCAATTGTCAAAATGGCCGCACATACTCCTGTCGGAGCGCTAGCAACTCTGTCCAAAGTGAATTTTGACCATGGCACATCAATCGTGGTGAGGTACTAATGTTTTTATTAGTCTGCCAAGGCAGTGGAATGCATAATTCCATACACCGTTTCCATGGTTACCATGGGCTGTTACCATGGAATTTCGTAGTATGCCTTGTGCGATCACGTCTAAAATTTGTGGACTCCTTCATTAGCCCCTGAGCAACAGTTTAGGGTCAAGTTTTAGGTCAATGTTAGAACAGAGGCCATGCAGCATGTCTGTGTATGATGGTCCTACCGGTAGGTCCTACCGGTAGGACCGAGGTCTATGCAAGCTATCATTAATAGAATGGACAAGAGAAGCCAGGTGTGCACTGCGTCCATGTGATAACGGGGTTGTGTGAGCGATTTTATAAAGGGCGGATGATGAGAGCATGCGGGGTTGACGGAGGAGAATTTTAAGGATTTTCTTGTGATGTATTTCAAGCTTTGCAGCAGCGGAAGAGGATAACCCAACCCAAGACGTATCTGCATAATGAAATATTGGGCGAAGGTAGGCGAAATAAAAAAGAAGCTTGCAAGAAAGTGGGAGGTAGGAGCAGTGGGGGGAGAGAATTCCTAAGGATTTACTTGATTTTTTACAGATATATTCGATGTGAGGTACCCAAGAGAGTGCAGAGTCAATCACAATGCCAAGGTGTTTGTGAGAAGACACTATGTCAATTGGATTTGGAAAGTTGGCATGGATGAGGGTTGTGAACTCCGGCTGGGGCGGGAAGAGCATGATCTTTGTTTTTGATAGATTTGGGGACAACCTCCAGGACGACATCCAGGAAAGAACTTCCTGAATGCCAGCACGCAAGTTGTTTTTCAGGCCAGTGAGGGAAGCTGATGAGGTGAGAAGGGTCGTGTCGTCAGCAAACAGAGACGTTCCAGGGAAGACTGCAGGTAAGTCGTTTACGTAAATTATAAATAGTAGGGGACCAAGAATTGATCCTTGAGGAACGCCCGACAATACTGGCTCTGCAGCCGAGGATGTGCCAAGCACAGTTACGTACTGATAACGCCCAGAGAGATAAGATTTCAGCCAGGAGAGTGGCTGTTTGCGTACCCTGAATGCATGCTCGAGCTTTGCCAAAAGTCCTCGATGCCAGACGGTATCAAAAGCCTTGGCCAAGTCAAAGAAGCAAATGCCAGCAAGCGCTCTGTTATCCCTATGCTGGCACACCTGCTGCACGATGCGGGTCAGTTGAAGAGAGGTGGAGTCGCCTTTACGAAACCCAGATTGTGCGGGACTCAGAAACGGCGAAACATGTCTGTATAAGTGATCATAAAAGATGCGTTCACATACTTTGGACACGCAGGGAAGAAGAGAGATAGGGCGGTAGTTTGCAGGTTCGTGGCGGGAACCTTTCTTGAATACAGGTATGACTTTCGCTGTTTTCCATGCGGAAGGGAATATGCCCGTGGTAAATGACATGTTGAAAATATGGCACAAAGGGAATGCTATGGATGGTGCCAGGGCCTTGAGGACCCGGTTGGGGATGCCGTCAGGACCAGACGCCTTGCACGTCGGAAGCTTCTTCAGATGACGCCGGACAGTGGCAGTTGTAGTGATGACGGACGTGAAACAAGCTGAGGGCTCCGAGCGGGTGAGAATAGGGGGAATAGAGAGCAACGGGTCATCTGGCCGAGTCACAGAGGCAAACTGGGCGTTTAATGCGGTAGCTTTGGCCAAAGGGTCAGCCGCCTGCTGAGTCCCTGTTGTGAGTGACGGAATTTCCCGTGATACGTTTCGAATTCTTGCTTGTCTCACAAACTGGTGAAGCGATGGACGGTGTCTACCCTGCAAAGTAGTTTTCATTGAGCGGATATAAGCTCTGTACTTTGTCCGCGTCAGGGTTTTCACTATATTTCGCTGCTGTTGGTATGCTTGTTTGTTTTGTTGTGTTGGGTACTTCCTAAAAATGCTATAGAGATCATATTTCCACTTGATTGCTGTGCGGAGATGGGCATCAACCCAGGGTGGCTGACTGGGCCGTGGGCAGCGGTGAGAATACGGCTGCTTTCCGAATGGCCAGAGGTGCTTCTCAAGGGCACTGTTGAGAATGGAAGAAAAGTGTGAAAGCGCATCATCGACGTTGCTGGTACGCAGGTGCCAGCTCCAGTCAATATCAGAGAGCTCTGCATTCACACTATCCCAGACGGAAGATGGCACGGATTTAAAGTCATATTCCGGCTTTGCAGGAACATTGCTGAAGTGGCTTTGGGGTGCAGCAGCGGGATGTCCGCTTGCAGCAGGTTCCTCACGGTAAACAGCATCAGTAGGCAGTAGGAAATGACTGAGGATCTGTGCGTGGTCAGATGCACCAAGAGGAGCAACAGATGTAACAGAGAGTAGTAGGTGAGGATGATCCGTGAGTACAACGTCAATACACGATGTTGAGCCGTGGGGGGTAAAGTGTGTGGGGAATGTCACCATTTGCTCAAGGCCAAAACAAGAGAAGAGGTTACGGAACTCCCTTCCAGCACGATTCGTGGTGTCACTAGGAGACCAGTCAGAGTGGCGAGCATTCAAGTCTCCTGCAAGTACAATCGCCGAATTGGGAAGGCTAATAGTGGACAGACAGTCCTCTAGGAGGTCACTAAATGCCTGGACTTGGGAGATGCTGTCTCCAGGGGGTCTGTAAACAGAGCAGATGATGAGGGGGAGTGAGGGAAGGATCACTGGCCGCAATTCGAGCCAAACCGCCTCCAGTCCACAGCGCTCAAGGTCGAAGCGGCGCTTGATGGACATGAACGATCTGTCAGCTACAAGAGTAGCAACACCGCCATAGCCTCTTGCTGGCAGGTTATCAGAGCTGGTACATGTCATGTATCATTATTTTATTTTACTAGGGTGTTTCCCACAGACCTATGGTCTTCTTACGGGAGCCCCTATGTACATGTACGTGTATCTGTTGTGCGCCATCTATGGATCTGCCACATCGATCGATTTTGCTGCGCGATCTGTCGATCGACAGATCGCGCAACGATCGATCGATCGCGCAAAATCGATCGATCGCGCAACAAAAAAAGAAACCAAATCGATCGATTGTGAGCTGGGCGCGGAGTAGGTATTTTACTACTCCCTTGTGAACGGCATCATCGTAATCAGTACTCGCACTGGTACGAGTACATGTACTTGGCGACTGGCCGCACACCACTCAGTAAACAGTAGATGACGATTCTTTGAAGAAGTAATGGTTGACGTTGTCGAACATTCAGACCCACTGGAGGCGTTCCACAGCCTGGAGCCCGCTGATAAGGATTTTGATGTGACTTGAGTAAGTACTAAAGTGATGTCAACACTAGTTCTACGTACTCTCAGTCTCTCTCTCTCTTTTTTCGGCGTCAGACATTGAGTGGGAGATATAGATGACTGGATTTCGTTTGTAAAATAATGAGTAATTTCTGCAATTTGTGATCGAATCAGCATGCTGTCAGCTGTACCAGTCCACATCCCATCGTAATCAGCGACCAGGCCAAGCGTGATATTTGCCTTGGTATTTCACTATGTGTGGTGAGAAGACGTCCATTCACGTCTGAGAAATTCATTTGCAAATGGGAAATCAACAGGCCTGTATTAGTATGGGCAGAATTCATCACCCGGGCCGCTATTGAAGCTTTGCACAGTTGTCAATGTCCAACGGCCTATTTATACGAAGACCTGTGGTGGCTACGTGATTCTCTTAAACCTGTGATCATGTTTTCCAAGATCATTTCAGTAGCAGACATATGAAACGCTACGCCGGGCCTGAGCCCGAGGCAATGTACGGACGTGGCCGTGCTGCACTGAACCGCGTGGCATCATCGTCACGTATGAT